GTGTCAAGTTCCCTTTCCATTGTCGAAATATCACTGATATGTAACGAACAGCTTTCAATTTTGTACGTTGAAGTAGGGATTCATTACTGTTTCAACCGTGAAAGCCTAAACCCCAGTCCTTTACCTGCGATGATTCAGGCGGCCTGGGTTCAAAAATTTTAAAAAGGAAGAAAGATCTCACGGACTCAAATAATTTCCTTACATGGTCGACCGAAAAATTTGGCGATTTTTCCACTTGAGAAGTGTGTCATTTTCTTTTATATCTAGAATTCCTGGTCTGACTAGATTTCGATATAACGACGTAATAATTAAAACCGTAGATAAAAAGACTTTCCTCAACGTCCACATGACGAGGTTTTCTATAGTCACACTTTCAAATTAACGGTGAGAAGAAATTGCGACCTACAAAACCTTACCGACTACTACCATTGGATGATTCCATTGTTGACTGTTATACTAAATAGTGAAAAAAAGAAAAAGAAAACAGAAAAAAAGAAAAACTGTTTCATGTACTGAGTAATCGTTGAGATTGAGAAATGAATCGTTTCCTAAATGGTAGCTAAATGTGAAACGATCATGATTATTTATTGTTGATTATATGATATTTGAGAATCTGTAAGTGCCGATCAAGATAGCAGCCGTTTATGTTCGTACTTGCCGCTTTATTTCGCTTTTGAACTTGTTTTATATCTTACAATTTTATATGGTATGGCAACCTAAAGGCCTCTGCTATCCAATATTGACCAAGTTCAACGCAAAGACATCTTTTATCAAGAATAACCAGGAACTAAAGTTTCCGAGGCGACCTATTTCAGTTTGGTACAGACATTTTCCGACCTGTTTGGTTTTACCAAAAGATTTAACTGTCCACACGGATGTTGAGCTAAATCCTGGTCCCTTGCAGAAGAAACCAATTTATTTGTTAACCCGCCTACCTACGGTTTCTGGCCTGGTCTCGTATCCAGGTAATAAACTGTTGTCTACGAATAATGCTGACACCCTCCATGTTGGAATTTGTAGTTCCTACTATTCAGACGTCTTTCATCGATTTTCTCACTGGCCTTGTTCATCGCCATCATCATCGACCTACAGGAGATGCCGCGCTGGCCGTCGAGTCAGAGAAAGGAAAGCTAGAAATATTCACAGAATTGAATCCCTAGTTTCTTATCCACGCACTAGCCGAGGAAGCGAGAATTTGCATAAAGGATCCATTTCAAATAACCTCTACGTCATCACACCTGTGAACACTCGTTAATCCGCGTTCAATTCTAAACTTTGCGGTCTTCAATTCAAGATCTGTTAGGAATAAGATCGAGAGCATCATTGACCACGTAGCTGAAAATGACACCGGCCTCTGCACCGTTACCGAGACCTGGTTAAATGACACTGACTCCGTCAGTATTGCTCAGTTATCTGTGGCTGGCTATTTCTTCAAGAATTTTCCTAGATAATCGCACAACCGTGGTGGTAGTACTGGGATTCTGTTTCGAGACTCTCTCAAAGTCTCATTAGGGGATGGGAAGGAAAACAAGTCCTTTGAATTTTCGGAGTGGGCTGTTAAAGTGCACGATCGCTCTATGAGATATGTGATAGTGTATCGACCTCCATTTTCTTCGTTACACCCCGTTTCAACCTCTGTCTGTTTTTGATGAATTCTCTCAGTTTTTAGAGAATGTTGTTATGTGTCCCGAGGCCCTTGTTATCTCTGGAGACTTCAACCTTGATTTAGATGACCTCCGTGACAATGACACCAAGAAATTTATGGATTTACTGGAAACGTTCAGTCTTTCGCAACACGTTTCGGGTCCGACCCATCTATCGGGTCTTACCTTAGATTTAATTATTACTCGTTCCTCAGATGATATTGTTCTTGCTTCCCCTAAAACTACTTTTCCCATCTCCGATCATTTATTATTCAGTGTCCTATTGGTTTCTCACGACCAGCTTTGTCATGCAAATAATACTGACTTTTCGTAAACTCAAAAATATTGATATTGCTGCGTTCTCAGCTGATATTGCCTCCTCTATGCTTTGTGCAAGCGTACACTGGGACAACATTGATACACTCTCCGACTACTTTAATAAGACCCTTACTGACATACTGGATAACTTTGCCCCGCTTAAAACAAGGACTATGATAAATCGTCCAAAGGTCCCATGGTTTAATGATGACATTAAAAACTCAAGCATTAACGTCGTCGCCTTGAAAAGAGAGCCGTGAAAACTGACCTCTCTAGTGACTGGAATAATTACCATAAAGTTCGTAATCGGTACTCTGCATTTCTTAAATCTGCACGTGTGAATTATTATTCAAACCTAATTGATCAGTGTGCGGGTGACTCTCGCAAGTTATTTCGTGTGGTCAATTCTTTGTGTAGGGAACCACTTGAGACGGCTCTTCCAGAGCACACTGACCCCACAAAGCTAGCAAACAAATTTGGCACCTTCACCCTCAAAAAAAATTGAAATCATAAAGGAAAATCTTGACAAGTTTCAAGTTCAAGAACCCTGACTCATTCCTGTTACTCCTAAGGAGAATCGGGAGAGTTTTTTCGCGCTATCCATCGAAGAAGTGTCTAAGACTGTTCGAGAATCCTCCAATGCCTCTTTTCGGCTCGATCCTGTTCCTACATGGCTACTGAAGTCTTGTCTTGATGTATTAGCGCCCCCTATCACTGAAATGGTAAATCTCTCTCTTCTCAGTGGTCACGTTCCAGAAAATTGGATAACTACCGTTATCTTTCTTCTACTGGAAAAACCTGGACTTGATTTGGTCTATAAAAATTTTCGTCCAGTCAGTAATCTTCAATTCATTTCCAAGGTAGTGGAAAAGGCTTTACTTCAACAACTTCTCGTCCACTGTGAAAAAAATGCCCCTCTCCCTAAATTCCAGTCGGCTTCCGTAAGTATCACTAGACAGAAACTGCTCTATTGAAGGCTCAAAACGACATCTTAATGAGTATGGATAATAAAGTGATACTTCTCGTACTTTTGGAACTTAGTGCTGCTTTTGACACCATTGAACATTCCATTCTTCTGAATATCTTGCAACAGGATTTTGGAGTCGTCGGGACTACTTTAAATAAGTTCGACTCATTTCTGTCCGGTCGCAAACAACGCATACTTGTTGGTGATAAGACTTCTGATGACTTTAATCTGAACTGTGGAGTCCCCTAGGGTAGTTGTATGGGGCCTATTTTATTCACTCTCTACATCTCCCGCCTCTTCAACATTATTTCTCAGCATCTCCCTTCCGTCCATGGTTATGCTGACGACACCCAGATTTACCTCTCCTTCCGACCTTACTCTATCCATTCCGAAATTAACGCTGTCTCTGCGATTGAGATGTGCATTGCTGATGTTAGTTCTTGGTTTATTGCTAATCGTTTCATGATCAACGACGCAAAAACTGAGTTTCTAGTTATTGGCACCCGCCAACAACTTGAAAAAACATCTATTGAATCTATTATTATTGGTGACACCCTCATTAAACCTTTAGAAAGCGTCCGGAACCTTGGGTCCTGGTTCGATGCCCATATGCGAATGAACGTTCATATAGGCAAGATCTGGCGGATTACACAACATAAGACAGATATACTGTTATCGACTAAGACACTAGTCCACGCCTTTATATCCTCACACCTTGATTACTGTAACACACTACTCTTCGGTCTACCTAAATATCAACTCGATCGCTTACAGAAAGTTCAGACTGCTGCGGCTAGAATGATTTTTCAGATTCTGAAATTTGATCATATCACACCTGCACTTATCGACCTACATTGGCTCCCAGTAACGTTCAGAGTTCAGTTTAAATTGCTCCTCTTTGTTTACAAGTTATTACGCAACCAAAGTCCTCCCTACATTAAAGATCTTTTGTCCCTGAAAACAGCTACTAATTATGCTCTTCACTCATCTGCTCAATCTCTTCTGTTCGTTCCAAAAGTCAACTGCTCTTCACTTTGGGATCGGGCCTTTGCTAATGCTGCACCTGTTTTATGGAACTCGCTGCCATTAACTATAAGAACAAGTAGTAGCCTCGCCATTTTTAAAAAGCAACTTAAAACATTTCTATTTAGGAAAGCTTTTAGTTTGTTTCAATAGTTCTAATGTTTATGGCCTTTGAATATTTTAACTTTAATTAGTATAGAACTTTAATTTATGTAAAGCGCTTCTGAATATTGTTTATAGTTTTAGCGCTATATAAATTCCTTATCATTATCATTATCATTATAACTGCTCCAATTCACCACTTACAGGCCGCTATCCATCTACCGCAATCTACCACTCTGACGAAGGGCTAACGGTCGAAACGTCAGTTAGTAAAATAGTAAATTACCCTGCTATACTCTCCCACCGACGCAGCACCACAGTTTCTTCCACAATTTCTTTTGAAACTTACCCTCTTTATTAACTCACAAGTTAGTTGCTCGTGAGACAAACTGGATATATAGGAACACAGAAATTTAAAAATGCAAAAGGAATAAAAATAAAAGAGAAACTAACTAATCACATCGGGTTAATCAACAGAAAAATCGGTCTGACGTTTATCAGGTCATAAAATTTCTTCTAAAATTGGCGTCGTTCGTTTCTTGGCTGACAGCGATAACTAAAAGACTTGTGCCATGCTACTTGATTTAAATCTAAAAGCCCGTGATAGTGACAATTTGCAAAATGACTAAGCTATTGCCAGCTCTGTCATCCATCTCGAAACTCTATTTGCCATCAGTAATACTGTGAGCCACATCAGTATATATAAAATAACATCAAGCGAAACATGCAATTAAATTCGTCATAATATTCTAACATAATAACTTGAAAATAGGAAGACTACGAGCGGTCCACAATTTTTGGCGAAGTCCGTCGCGCAAGTCAGAAAAATAACAGTGCTGTTATCGCGCTGCGTAAAACTTTGGGTTGAGGTGCATGAAAAGTTGGTGTCATTTTTTGACGCCTTACATCCAGAGTTCCGCACGGCGTGCTGTCATCAATTTCTTTTTTTTTTTGCATTGGTTTTTTTACTCCCCCGACGGACTTCGCCGAAAAGGAGGAAATGCTCGCAGTTTAGCGCATATAATAGATCACGAGAAACGACAAACTCATCTGCTAAATGGTGTTCTCGGAATATTACACCATATTCTACTAATTTGTTACTAATCAAATGTATGGAAGCCGAAAGAAAGAATTCGCTATCGGATCTTATGACGTTTAACTGGATTAAACTCTTTTTTTTTTATGCGCCTACTGGTTGAGAACTGTTTTGAAAAAATGGCTCTTTTGAGAGATAACCACCAAACCACCATTGAGTAGTGGCCTCAGGCTCTGCACTGCAGCGGAATTTAGGGCTAAGTCCATCTCCGTAGAAACCGAAAAAGTCCACAATTGGATTCGCTTCATAATAAAATTCACATCCGGTATTTGTGCTGTCTGTGTGGAGAATATACTTATTAGGAACCTGCCAGAATGCCATGGTAGTGCCAGTGCCCGCAGCTTTTCCGCGAATGTTCACATAGTCTATGGAAAAACAAGTTCGCCCACCCTGCCACGTTAAGATATCCAAGTCTTTGAGCTTTCCCCGAAGGTAATCTTCGTAATCGATCGCTTCTAGGTTGTTGATATTGCACGTTGCTCGCCAGTGCGTGGATTGACTACGGATGGATTTCATTCTTGCAAGTGTCTCGCGGTAAATAAACCAGTTTGGACTACCTGCGTTGATTGGAGCATCTTCTGTGAACAGTTTGGTTTTGAAATAAGGCAAATCCCGGAATTTCGCAGTCTGCCAAGACATTACTAGGGTCCACGCGGAGCCCGGCTCGTATGACAGATCACAGTAAGTCATGTATGGATGGCCTTGGTTATCAACTAAGACATAGAAACCATTCTGAGTCATCCCTTGTTGTAAATAATCCAGGCAAGATTTGGGAAGGAGCGGCTGTGTAAAATAAAACAAAAAGTAATGCGAAATGTTTTCTTTAGAGGTTTTCTCGATCAGTAATCAATACTTCAAAACTTTTTGGCTATATTATTGCATGCGAGAGACCAATAGGATTGTTTCAAACGTATGCAAAAAAGCCCTCGTATGTGAAACGATTAATCTGTTGGCGACTAATAATGATCGGTGCAAGTCCGCTTGCTGACCTCACGCCAGCTAGCACTTCTGAAAGCCTCGAAATTATTCGCGGCCGAAGAAATGCCCTCGCCAAAGCGCTATTAAAGCGGACTCATTTAGCGTATAGTTCAAGATTTTATTAGCTTGGTCGGCCGAAGGTAATATTGAATCAGTTTTGAACGATTTCAGCGAAAGCGAAGATACGTGATGTAACAGTCGCACAGATCATTTCCCATGGGTAAAAGTCCTCCTCATTCTTCTCGCTGCGCACTGCATTCTTAGCTCCGCTGGCACGTTTTGAAGTCACGCAGAGGCAAACGTTAGATAAACAGGAAGTTCTACTTGCGTTTTAGTGAAACGCGAGTAGAAGAACCTCTCTCATTTTAATGCGTATGTTTCGTTTTTTTTTTCCAGCACGTGATTTACGCCTGATGCGTTCCCAGAACATTGCCCCACTCGCCTTAAAACGCAGAACAACAATAACAACAACAACAACAACAAAAATGACAAACAAACAGAAAGGAAAAGAAAAAATCACTTGTTCCGCAATCTAGCTCCTTTGTGCAACATGAGCTTTCGAAGCTACGCAGTCCATTGAAGTTTTAAAATATTCTTCCAATAATAACGTACGTTAGGAACCCTGTCTAAGCTTCAAATCGCCAAATTGCTCACTGCAACTGAATCGTGCAGAGCCGGGTCAGCTGCTAATGAGGCCACGGCGTCTATCCATTGACAACATGAACACGTACGTATGAGTGAGTAACGAGACTATTTTATGTGACAATGTGCTTACGTTAACTCACCGATGTTAATTCAGGAATAGGGGAAGTTTCAACCAAGGCAAAGAGCAAAAGGAAGTGAAGAGACTTCATTCCACTCGAGGAAGTAGAAAAAAGTATAAAACTTCGATTGCGTGCAGGATTGATGCAAATGCGATTGAGTGTCTGAGACTATTTGTTGGCATGGCCCATGTAACCTTTTTGTGCGTCTCTTACCTCGTCTAAATTTAGTTTCTGAGTTTTGTCGCGTCATTAACCAATTTGGATAAGAAATTTCGTGCCCTGACCTTTTGCTGTCAAGAAGCACAAACCGATTGCGATTGGATAAGCGCTATCAATGCAAATAAAAGAAATGTTATGGCAAGAATCAGACCACCAAAGGGAAGTTTTGATGAAAAAAAAAAAAAAAAAAAAAAAAAAAAAACCAGCCTTTAAGGTATTTATTCATAGATCCCAAGGTTGTAATTAGGAGGGATTTTGGTTTGAGATGGACAAAACAGACCTCAAAGTGTTAGAATGACAAAAGGTCTTTTTTTCGTGACTTAGAGCTGGATTAGGAGAAACTACTTCATTTAATTTAACATTAAAACCTACAGTATAGAGAAAGAGTCAATGAAGGGACTAAGTCTCTTGGTATGTTGACTTAAACAAGAAAGCATTGTATTATCAGGGGTCTGTATAAACAGAGATATTGTTTGCTGCGTGTCATGATTTAATCCTTTCATCAAAAGTTAAAGGTAAACTTTCCTCAAACCTCACGCAGGCAAGATATGCGCTTGATTCGAACAATGCATCAGGACAACAAATAATCAGTTTTGTAATATTTAGTTCATAGGAAAATAAATATATTTTTCCCATTCCACCATTTGGGTGATCAGGTCCAGACAAATCTTCTTAAATAGCTGACACCGTCACTCATCAAGGTCAAATTTTTGCAAACTCTTGCCAACTACCTATCATCAAATTCTTGCCAGTCATCATGAGTACTCGCGCAATAAACATATTCCATGCATGCAAGCGCACACGAAGTACTGCATTGACATACACATGCATGTCAACACGTGGAGTACATACACATGGAGTACATGCATGCAAGTAGAAACGGAGTAAGCAGTGTAACATTCTCTCAAACTGGATTCAAAAGAAAGACACCTCTCAGTCGTTTTAACATGCACACTCCACCCCCTCCCCCCCCCCTCAAAAAAAAACAACAGCTGTGCTATAATATTTCTCACAAGCAGCCCAACATATACTACACTCTTGCGGCGTACACATTAATGTCGTGTACGTAAATGGGAAGTGTCCAGTGGCGGAAGTTGGACTAATATGTTGATGATTCTCTCTAAAACATTCCCTGCAATTTTAATATAGGGCTGCTTCTTCCTTTTCTTAAACTGTGAATAGTCGTTATTAATTGATACCTCAAATCGACGGACCTTCGCATTTTGAAACTCATACTTGGCCTTGCGAGAGAGAGGTAAACACTTTCTTCGGCCTCCTGTTCTTTCTTTCATATGACTACTCATCTTTTCCGCAAACGAAGATAATCAATGAAGACCCAGGAAATACAAACGATTGAAAAAACAACCAAAAAAATGAAAGAAAAGTTGTACCGTGTCCACGCAAGTTGGTAGATTTAATCATTCAACGCGTTTCCTGTCAAACCCCATTTACAAGATGTATAAACTTGGCTGGGAGAGCTATTTGAGTCCTCTAAAACATATTTGAAAACTGGTTGACAATATTATTCCGTTAGTCAACATGGGACGGTGTGTGACGCATTAGTCACGCAATGTCTGTTCATAATTCTGTTACCATAGAAACAAAAAACACTCTCGGCAAAGGCGCTTTGTTCAACAACTGTGCTCAACAGTTTAGAAACATTGATGGTAGTGAAGACAGGTTATCAAAGACACAAGTAGAAACAGAACGTAAATGCCTAATCCAAACATTTCAACCCAAGGTAAGAGGTTTAGGGCTGTTGCTTAGATTCTTCCTTGAAAATGAAACCGGCAATTTGTGACAAATGATTGCACGTACTTCGCGTGAATCAAGGACGCCATATTTTTGAAGAACAACTGTAGCACTAAAAAACGGTGTTGAAGCTTGAGTCTTGGTATTTTTAAGTCTAATCAGCACTCAAATCGATTTATATGCATCCAAGTCTCTCTAAAACACAAAATGTTTCTGTACGAGCCATCAAAGTGTTTCTACATCCCGTTTTTTCAACGGATCAAACCAGCTGAAAATCTGTGGTTCCTTGGACATTTGTAAACGAAGTCAACTTAAGCCCGTTTTTTTTCCCCATAGTTTCTACTTATTAGTAAGTGACTGTATAAAGGAAACTGGAAAATATATAGCTAATGGTTTTGATATAAAGATCATTAGTTATAACGGCTTCTAAAACGTTGTATGTGGCAGCCGGAGAGGTTTTTGAGTACTCCGTGTCCGGTGGTCAGAAATTTTTGCAGTTTCCCCAGAGAGATCCCATTAAACTTCTTAAAGTGTCAGATTTTTGTTTAGAAATTTAAGGCGATTTCCAAACACACCTATTGTATATTTTTTGAAGTGGATGAATTTTCTGAGCTTGTGCATACCCTAGAATTTCTGGATTTTTGACAATTAGGGAACATCTCTAACCTACTAAAAATCTGTCTGGATGCGGGACATGTGGGCACTTAGCTTCTTAAAACTGCACACCTGATTCAGATAAAATGCATGAGCTGTCCCAACCACAATTATGTAATGAGTACACCTGTAAACATGTCTACTCGCTGGTGTACTCTGTGGACTTTATCTTGAGAATTTCAAAGATGTTATGAACATGCTTAGTTATAACCATTGACAAATTGAGGAACGTATCTTCCATCTTGAAAGTTGATAATCTGACAATGAAATTATCCTCTCCTTTCTTCTCAGACTGGTACTACCATGCTCCTAGTAAGAGAGTGGTACAACCTGCAAAACCTGCTCCTCCTGCATCACAGATCCCTGGGATAGGGGGACTCCCTGATGAGTTGGCCAACCCTGAGGGTGATGATAGACATTTCAGAAGGAAGTGGATAAGGGACACAGACTCAAAGTATATAAAGCTTGCTAAAGGAGGAGGGCGAAAGAATTTGTTGACATTCCGCAGCCCACAAGTGAAGGCTGAGGAACCAGTTCCTTACCCACGAGTGGAATGGTTTGATCATGAACATCCAGAAGAAGAAGTGGATGAATCTAGTCATGAATTTGTAGTTCAAAATGAGGAGGAAAATAAAGAGAAAAAGCAAGGGTAAGCATAGACACATACAGGTATTTGTGCAACATGTCAACAAATGTATAATAAGAGAACTTGAGTTGATAGTGTAAATTGGCCACCATAAACTGACATCTCAAGTGTTAGCCCTTCATCAGATGGTTAGCTTATTAGTTCCATCAATGAATCCCTCAATACTATGCAAACTTCAAGATTCAACCAATACCTTAACCCCCTATAAGTGACTGGCTTCTAATTTCTCCTTACAGTATCACCTTTGAATCAAATGTAGAGGTCATGAGAATAACAGAAATTATCACCAATTCAAGGAGCTCATGATTTTCAAACAAACTCTCCTTGTCATTACTGTAGAAAATGTAGAGAGATCAGTGTGGAGCGTATGAATCTTAATGTTGCATCAATTAATCAGTTGGAGTCCTTGAATCCAGGAACAATATATTTTGAACATTCTTTCATGGGACAAGTGTAAAATATTTACTTTTACAAGTCTTTCAGCAAGTGGTCAGGTGAACATGCAGTAAACCAACTCAATGTGTTGTCTTTTCAGATATCAAGTCCTCCCAGAATGGTATGTTCACGTCCATGATGTGCCAGCAGATGATGAGATTGTGACAGGTTCTTATCGATCCAAACGACCAATAATGGGATTTGATAATCTTTCAAAATGGCAACGGTAAGAATTCTCATAGTCAACATTTACCATGAATATTTCAAAGAAAATGTTTAACCCTTCAAAACCTAGAAGTGACCAGCCTAAAAATTCTCTCAACAATAATACTGCTGAATCATTCTTTTAGATCATGAGAATAAAGGAAATGATCACCAACCTAAAAAGCTCTGATTATTATAGAATTCTCCGCGTCAGTACCAAAGGAAATGTATAAAGAAGTGTACAAAAATATGAATACTGATGTTACTGTAAAAAGGTTAAAGATAAATGATGTTTCCATTGCAGGGACTCTAAAGATGCAAAACAAAATCCCAACAATGTTAGACTTCCTCCTTTGAAGAAGATTCACAAGGTGGATAAAAGGTATGAAGAATTGAAGGCAGCACAAAGAATTGCACCTCAGGCTCAAGGAAGACATGCAAGGTTACCAAAAATGTAAGTGAAATTTAATACTGTGGCAAAATGGATTATTCCCAAATGACCTACACCAGACAGGAAAACTCATCACTTTCCTAACTAACAATCTAATCTGAGAGCAAAACCTAACCCAGCAGCTTGTTGTCCATTGATATTTTAATCCTCTGTGTCCTAAGGAGTGACTAGCATCTAATATTTTCTTAGCAACATCATCCCAGAATCAAACATTAACTCATAACTCTCAAGGTCTGATTGTTGATTCTCACCTCTTGCTGTTATACATTCCATTGTACATACTGTACCTTACAAGAATTTGGTCTCAGATCTAGAAAACAGCTTTTATCTGATAACTTTGAGTATTCACATTACAAGTTTGCAGGATAATGTGTGGATATTATAGGGAGAAGTTACATGTTCATCATTTCTGGGAGTTAAAGGGTTAAGGTAACAAGAATAAAGGAAATGATCACCATTTAAAGAAGCCCTTGATTGTTAAACAAATTCTCCTAGTCAGCACCTCAGAAAATGTATAGAGAACAGTATGGAGAATATGCATATGGATGTTGGGGTGTAATTGGTTAATGTACTTCATGCAGTTTTCTTCTTATCATATTTTCTTCTTCTCTAATAAACCATAATTTTAGTTACCTTGGTATTTTTATTTTTATAAAAAATCAATTGAAATGAGCTATATATTATATTTTTAGTGAAAATGAACAGGTCGATTTTAAGCATTTGATGTCCATGGGTTACCAAAGAGACTGGTTGCAAGAACAGAAACAAAAGACAAAGGAAGAAAAAGGAGAAAAAAAGGTCAATTGAATTGGGAGTTGTCTCCTTATAAAACCCTCCCAAAAGATCTATTTCCTCTGGCAATTAAATGGCTGTTGTTTAGTTTGTACGTACAACTCTGGGTAACCAAACAACAAATGATTTAGTCAGGTTGACCCCAAAGAAGCTCTTGAATGTTAAACAAATTCTTCCTGTCGGAACCTAAGCAAATTTAAAAAGAAAAATGTGCATAGAGAGTATGCATACTGATGTCTTGGTGTAAAGGGTTGAAAATTAAAAATATTTTTGTCCATAAAATGCACTAGTTGGTAAAGTGATTCTAGTGGAAAAAACTGTTACTTTTAAATTTTACTACTAATGTGGTTACTTTTTTTAAAGTAATTAAGCTAGGATTCTTTTACTGGATTTAGTACATACCAAAACAGTGTTTCTATTCACCTTCAAGCAACTTGCACTGGATTTGTACCCAAAAACATTGTAATTTTCACAGGAATAAGTGACTTTTGTGCCATATTGTCTCACTGTTTGAGTATATACTGAAACAAACATTCACCTCAGTGTTGGTGGCTAACAGTATATAATTACCTTGCTGCTTAGTGGCCTTGTAAATATCCATCCCAAGCCACCTCCACTTTGGTAAATAGTAGTTAATAATTAATAATAGTCATCAAATATAGTGCTTAGTTAATATTTTTTATCTTTGTAGAAACAACAAGAGGAAGTCGAAGATAAGCAAGAGAAACAACACAATAAAGCTATAAGGTAGGCTCATAAACTGCTTAATTTACAACACTACACCTTAGTAAAAAAGTAAACTGTTTACACTTGCTGTGATTTGGTGACATGGGACAGTCATCAAAAGTATGACTCATTGTCTTATCATTAATAATGAATTCATTTTGTTTCCAGGAAACCAAACAATGCATCTGATAGTGACAAACCTATGTTCAAACTTAGCAAGTAAGTTTACTGATGGTAACCATTTTGATTGAGGAGTAATTTGTAACATCACTTTTTTTTCAAATATCACTTAGTTTGTATAAATTTAAATTCATCATGCATTACTAATTTTTTTTTGCAACTTAGGTTTGAAAGGATACAACCCAGAGTGGAGAGTTTCCGGACTTGAACAATCCCAGGGACTTCTGTGTGATTCATCAGATGGAGAAAAGCTTTCTGTCTTTTAAAAATACTTCAGGTCAGGAGGGCCCTCAATAATATTGTCAGTGAAACAACCCAATTACTTTACAGCATGAGGGAATAAAAAAGGGAGAATCTGGCTGACATGCAAGCCATCAAAACATTTATATAAAGAGTTTTATTTAAGACAACTTCAAGAGTGTTTAAAATTCGATTTTAGATACAAAACTTTGTGCAAAAAGTTGAACAAAGATATTGATGTTATTTAAGGTGCTTTTAGTAGCACACTAGTTAACTGTGTGTTTTGCATCAAGTTATTATGGGAAAAATTCATTTTGAACCAAGATTACCATTACCTAATGAGATTTTAGGAGAAGTGTCACTAGTGTTGTCCAGAGATTTTAAATAACCAGCCATAAAACAGCTCTTGTCAGTAAGGGTTTAACTTCATTCCAGATCAAGACAAACATTCTACCACTTAGTCTTATCAGATTAACAGGCACTGATGAAATGAGTGACCAGCAAAAGCAGTGGCCTTAAGTGCTTCTCAAGAACACTGCATTATATTTAAAATCTGATTTATATTGTGGATAAGCTTGAGGGTTCATAGAGGGATCTTGAGGCAAAGAGATGCATGAATATTGATTCATAAAGAGGGAATGATATACACATGTAAATTTTTATGACATTCTGATGAGTGTTGAGCTAAAATCGCTCTGTAAATTACTGTACAAACTAACATGAACATTGCTATCAAAGTCATATGATTTAGAGTAAAGTTGCATGATCACAAGTCATCATTGTGTATAAAAAGTACTTGTATTATTTATTACATTATATAACACATACATGACGTTTTATTCATTTGTGAATCATTTGGGAGAATGAAAATAAAAACTTCTCAGAATTTGTGTCCACTGTTTGTGAACCTGCCAGGACATTGCCTGTAATAGAACTGACTTTTCCAACTACCGATACACAGCATGACACATGTAGGCTTACAAAAAATAATTCAATTTTTATTTCCAAAGTAAATATTTACAGTATCTTACATAGAAATATGAACAAAAAAGCATAGAAATAAAAATAACTAACAACAAAAATTATAGCTTCTAATTATTTACAATTTTATCTAATACACTGTGGAATGCTAGAGTGACAGTTTTCCCCATAACTGGCAGTAACAAAAAATGTCTTGAATGCTTAGTTTATATTTTAAGTGAACGGGCAGGATCAAGTTCCTGAGTTACAACTTTCACATTTGTATTATGGCACTGTAATCTTCACCTGTAATCAGACAACAATCTTGTGGTTCTAACATTTCCAAATGGAATATTAGGATGTCTAAATCCCAACTCAGGTACTTGTCGATCAAAGCCAAAGTAGTCTCCTGTGGCATCTTTGAATAGTCTGCCTCTGTTTTCAGGATCAAAAGGGGTAAATTTTCTCTTTACATTTACGACATCATTCTCTTTATCCATGGCTAAGTTGCCATACAAATATGGCCTTTTTGGAATATGAGGTACTGCTGCTTGCAAGCCTAGAAAACGCTGAGTAGTTTCAGCTCTGTGGAATAAGAAGGAGGAAGATCATAAGTTTTGAAAATAATTTCTGATAAAATCATCCACTGAAAATGAATTTTGGGCCCCACCAAGTTTTGAGTACTGTAAGTAAGTAATACACAGTCAACAAATGTAACTTCACCATCAAAGCTGTTGAGATATTTCTCTGGGCTCAGTGTTTAAAGGCAGATTTAAGTGCAAAACTAAGGTCAGATCTTTGTTTAATCTGGGTTTCTTTATTGCCTATTTTTTCCAAAAATGTTTTGGTATGATTTCCTCGATCCTTTTTTACAGCATCCAACCAGCAAAATGAACAACCCAGCCTTGGTCTTTTGAAGAAAATGTAACAAAATCAAATTACATAATAAATGCACATTGCTTTACAATTCAGTTTTCCAACTTGAACAGTGATTATCCTCGCCTACCCAGCTGGCAGAACTCATATGAAAAAGGAATTGTAGAATGGCTATGCCTAAGACTAACATTGTAATGCCAGTTCAGATGCTGTCTCTACATCATACCTTGTTACTTTTTCTTCTCTTTCACTCAAAGATCTTTCTTTATCTTGAAGCATTTTTTCCCTTCCTAGGCATGGTTACATGGTGGAAAAAAAAACCTTTTAGTTTGACTTCATTAAAATACAATGACAGCATTTGATATCTTACAATAAATGAATGGTAATGAATAAAAATTTAAAAATTCTCTTAGATACTTTATGAAGTCAACATACTTTCCAACTCTTTTTGCTTCTCCGCCAGTTGTTTTTCCCATCTCCTGCAAAACTCAAAATCATTTTTCTTCCCATCATTTCTGAAATAAAATAACAGACAATGTAAAAAGCAAATAAATTAAACTGTGTAGCACCTTTCATTTTCTCTCCTGTAAATACTGATCATACTTATGTTTACTTTCAAAAATAGACTTTTGGTAACAAGTACACTGAAGACATGAACACAAAAATAATAAATGCTTAACAACAAAGTTAATTGAGACTGTTTGCATAATCAAGTGTTAATGGAGATGAACAAAGTACCTGGATGGGTGAACCTTATATTAGAGGATGGTCATTGTTGAGTAAAAAGACACTTACTCTGGCTCTGGTTCTCGGTGAAATCTCTGAAAAAGTGGACTGCAAAGAAGTTTGTCTATTGATGGTCGGCGATCCTCCTGTAGATTGTACATTAGGATAATCATACTGTATGAGCATATCCAGATTCATTAAATTAAAATAAATCTTGTCAAGCATTTTGTTGATAATTTCACAGAAAATGTATCATTACTGTGTGACAAACCAACTAGAAGCATTCTTACATTTACTCTCAGCATGGAGTTGACAGTTTCACTCAACTCTTGCGAGTACTGTTCAGGGATTGGGCGGAACTTTCCTACTCTTATCTTTGCCTCCAGACTCCTCTGATTCATAGCAGTAAAGGGAGGTGACAAGGCACAAAGTTCGTAGACCAGACATCCAAGTGACCATATGTCTGATTTTTCATTATAACTTTGCTTGTTGACTTGCTCCTGATAAAGAAAACATAAATGAGGCTCTGTCAAGAGAAACAGCATTCACAAGACTGTAAAGTTTTAACATTTGTAAAGAACACTACATATTGAATGATTGTAATGCACCCCTATGGAGAGTGGAGTACATAATATTTTTACTCAGTGCCAAACTGCTTTTTTTTCCAACGCACAACAAATTTAAATGCACTTTTCTGGTAACTTTACTTACACACACCTTTCTAATTAGATAGAAAAATCAATTAGCTCTATGGTTATAAATTAATACAAAAAAAAGAGGTGGTTAACAACTCACTGGTGACATGTAGTATGGTGTCCCTACAAATGTTTTTGCAAAGCTTGTGTCATGTTGAAGTACTCTTGCTAGTCCAAAATCTCCCAGTTTCACATCATTGTTACCATCCAGGAAAACATTGGCTGGCTTAAGATCTCTATGTAAGACATGAGCACCATTCTTTCTGCGATGGCATTCCTTAAGAGCCTCAACCAGCTGATACATGATCTTAATAATGAATTCTTCTTCAATAAGTCTCCTAAATAAATGACAAAAAAAACTTATATTCATCTCATCTCTATTGCTAATTTTCAATCTCCAGACAAATATTTATATCCCAGTGGGCACTGGGTAGCTACTGTAGCTTTTGCTTATTCTGAAATACAAAGATTCCTTAGAATAAGTATGTACAATTAATTCTTTAAATCTTGTGTCAAGTTAATTCCTGACCTTGTATGTTAGTTCTTTCTGTGAATGGCAAAAAAATTTGCAAGGTTTTCTTATGAGAGTGTAGTACCAGTAAGAGAAAAGTGTACAATTTTTCTCCATGTCTGAGTAAAATATAGCTCAAGCCACTGAAATTAAATGAAGATTCCTGTATAGTGGCCAGAGAATTCTCCCATCTCTGAAATTTATGCATTTCCTGGTTTTCTGTTTAAAAGTTGATAGTTATCTGAACCCTTTTACTTCAGTCTAGAAATGATTAACATATAACTTCTCCCTACAATATCCATACATCAATCAACCAAATTCTTGTAAGTAATATACAAGAAATGTGTAGCAGCTAGAGGGGAGAATTAACAATCAGATCTCAGGAGTTAAAGGGCTAACCAGTTATATTTCAAAGATGTTTATGAATGCCATGAGGAGACGTTGAACATTTACACATTTCTGGGAGTAGGAAGCTAATAAAATCAAGATTATCACTCACTTTTCCTTTCTATGTTTGGCTATTAAGGCTCCCAAGTCACCTCCCTCACAAAACTCCATTATGATGTAAATAGTTGTGGTGGAGCGATCAAGAATTCTATCATAATAACGAACTATGTGTGGATGCTTCAACTCTCGAAGAAGATTCACTTCTGAAACTAGCATTTGTTTCTCAATTTCTGTCATTTTTCCATAATCAAGTTCTTTCCAAACGAGAATCTAAAAAAAAAATACAAAAGATGTTTAGTGCAAACGTTAATGATGGTTGTAAAAACTGAGAGTTGCTAGACTAGTGCATGTTTGAAGATAACCGTGCTATTCAAACAAGTGTTCTGGGCACAAGTTTCGCATTCAAGACTTTAGCAAATCGTTATTTCCATTAGCCAGATTCAAGAAAGATTATCAGCCGAATCACAACCTAACTGAAGAAAAGCTACCTCAAATTCTTTGGCAGTGTGGAAGAGAGGATACCTTTTTATCGCTTCGTCGGCGTATCTTTTTACACGTTCCGTATGAACCAGAGCCTATTTCTCCAAGAATATCGTAGTCTGTAAGTTTAGACGGCATGGCTTTCCTTTTTGTTCCTCGGAATGCCTTTGTTGATTGATGAGAGGGTATCAGTCGTTCAGCTCTTTAATCAACTGCCGTTTATCTATGAATAAACAAAGTTTAAAAAGGTCTAAACTCATTTTCTTCTTCCTAAAACTTGTATAAGATTTTAATTAAGAAGAAACGAAGTACACTGGAAAGAATGAGCGTCGTTTTGACGCAAAACTTACCAGATTAATGGTGAAAATTTCTGCTGTAGCTCACAAAATTAAAATGGCATCCTACGCGAACAGTCAAAGCGTAGACTTGAACTTCGAGCGCAGCTTTCTCATTGGCTGGTGCTCTTACTCAAGGGACTCTCAAACTCAAGACGAGGCTGTGATGAAGTGTTGGTTTATAGGTCTGCAAGTCGTGCAGAACAGAGCATCGTCTTGGAACTTTCGAAACGTTTCGATAGAATTTGCGCCCTTTGAAAGTGCATGTTTCTTCATTTTCTTCTTCTTTTTTTTCTTAAATAGAATACAAGGAATATGTCATTTATCTTGATATGTCAATTTAAGTCTTGATGAGATGATTCTATACAAAATTTTATATTGTGAATATAATAATTGTTAAAATTTTGCTTATTAGACGGTGGACCGAGGACTCTTATCTCTCTTTATTTATCTGACAAAATTTGTCGATCGGGCGATAAGGCACCAAAAATTTTGCAAGGATACCTGTATATCATATTTAACAGTTAGTTCATACGTTATTGTGCGTGTTCATTGCGATACAAATCACCGGTATGAGAAGTTCAGAAATCAAGGAAGATGACTTAGAGTCGCTTGAGGCGTAGCTAATAGCAACTCTGACTTCTTGAGTGCTTTCCAAACTGCGTCATAAGTCGATAACTCAAGATCCTGCAAAGCCACAGTTTTTTTCCTTTACATGGTTTGTTTTTGGCTGTTGCCACTTGATTACTACGTTTAAAGACAATTTCCTTTGGTGGGCGTACTTTTTGTCTACTGACCTTGCCTTGGATCTACATCGATGTTCTTGTTTTGGCTTCGCATTCAAAGATCGATGGTTTGATCGGAAGCCTTGAGTGTGTTGTTACTAATTCGGGATAATCTAGTGAAGTTGTACGGGTTAACGTTCTGATAACAAATGTTTAATCTTCCAATGTCAGTTGGCTGCATACTCATTCATGCCTTCCGTTAGTGTATATAAAAGCTTTTACTGAAGAGTTAGTAGTTGAAATGAGAGGGAGGGTCAAAGTCAGTCATTCCGAGCGATGAAAGACAAGATAAGTAACTGAGGTAAATTAACAGTAAGAGGAAGACTGCAGAAATTATAGCAGGAGTGGTTGAGCTAAGCAGTATTAATAGCCTGCACTATATCGGTTTGCCGGTGCAGTATCCCATGCGGGACGTTTAGAAAACACGAGAAAAGATTAATAATCACGAGCCGAAAGCGAGTGATGAGCAATCTTTTCTTTACTTCTCCAAAAGCCCAAGTGAGTTTTTACGCCGGTAAACTGAAAGAGAGTGTGGTCCATTGCTTTGATAGGATATACCGGTATTTCAATTTTTCAACGGGTTAACCGAGCAATCAGGGTGCCTGTAGTATTCCAGTTTTTTTTTTATAAACGCGGGTTATAAGGAAGAACTTAAAAGGCAGCGCAAGAGTCCTTAATGCCTTCCGTTGTGCGTGGTACGCTCTGCAGATAGCTTCCCGCCTATAACCACACCGTAACAATTAACCCTGCTGGGAAACTGCTTTGGCAATTAATCCCTGAATAGAAACCTGTTTGCACTTTAGACTCATTTGTAACCTCTCATTAATACCATATAGCGTGCGTGTATTTTTCTGCCGGTAACCGTTCATCTTTTCAACAAGGCAAAGAAGAGAAAATGTTGTTTGGACGACCACGCCAGGAGTGACAGTGATCTGTCGGGGAATAGCACAGTTTTAAATTTTGACTCATAGCTAAAATCGGAACCAAAGTTAATCAAATTTGGGAGATATCAAAACAAAAGGAAGACGTTGATGTAGAAAACTTTCAATATGAAAATACAATAAAAAATCTTGTCTTCTTCAGGCGTTTTTGATTACTCTTCATGTTCATTTTTGTTATTATAAAGATTTTTTTATCTTAAAGAGAGAATATTATTTAGATAATCACACCGGGAATGATCGACACTGATTTTTAGAGGAATAACATGATTTTAAAGATTGACTCACAGCCAAAATTTGGATTCAAGGTTCATAATGAAATTAGAGATAACTAAAACGAAACTTAATAAGGAGGTATTGATATAGTAAACATTCGGTATGATCGTGCGAATACAATATATATATATATGTATATACATATGTAATGTTTCTTGAGGCGATATTTTTTACTTAATTTTCTCACATGACTTTATAAAGATTGTTAATCAAAGATAATCTGTGATAAATCAAAGAAAAATAAAAATTACAATACACGATTAGAGATAAGTGTTTGTTTTTCAACAGCAATAATTTCATTGCTGCAAAGTGTACCATCAAGCAGATTGTTCATTTGCTTATACATCGGAATCAGCAAATAATGATCATGATTGCATTTGAGAAAAGGGTTTTTTTGTATACCTAAAGTAACACAGAAATTTTTCTTTCTCACTTTGAACAAACATGCGTATAATATTTTTCTTCCCGATTCTCTATTCAATGAAATCTTTTGTTGAAAGTACGGCCTCCCGTCGAGTCACTTTGCCGGTGAATATGGGCTTTGATCTTATTTCTCGGTCGCATAGAAAATCTTCTGCTTTGAAGCATGAGTGTTCATTTCATTTTTCTCACGAGACGCTATGATTATAAAACGTTCTTTTTTTTTCTTTTCCTTTGCGAATTTATTTTTTAGACCTCAGCAAAATTACCTTTAACTTGCAGTAGTATAAAATATATTGGTTTTCTTTTGCTTATCACGAAAGCAATCGTAAATCTAATGAGGGCTTCTTCCTCAATCTCTGCGTTAGGAAAAAAATACATAGCTCTCTTTAAACATACTTTTAAGCAGTAAGTCAAACAAAAAATTTGACAAATTGTCTAAATTTCTTGACATTAATGCGACGAAGTCGAAAATCGAAGGGCGGATTTTTTACGGAAAAATAACATGAAAAGAATAACGGCGTTATCGAGGATTTTTTCATAACAAAGAAATAAAAATTACAGTTGAAGAAATTAAAAGTAGGTGTATTTTTGCAGAAGAACCATTGAGTGCTTCAATTCTTCCTATATTGGTTCCATGGGAGATAAAAACAAACATGGAAGACTGTTAGCAACGTGTTCCGTTATTGGACAGTTCGAAGATTATTAATACTTTGTGATAATTGATAGGAAACTTCAATTAAGATTGTCAAGAAACCCATTATTTTAACAAACTGTCGCCTTCGTCGCAGAATCTAAGCTCTTTTCGCTTGGGTTACGCATTTCCTCTAATGCTTTTAATGGTGTCAGTATAATTGGCTGGGATTCTAAAATTTGTCCCATTTGTTTCAAGTTTTCCTAAACATCAAGATTAATCCTGATAGTTTATAAATATATTGTCTTCCGCACTCAGTTCAGGTAAGTAAAATCTTGCATCGAGTTTCATCGAATATGAATTTCTCACTCAATATTACATCCACAGATAAAATTAAATCCTTGTCCTTTAGCGATTTTATTTTCGGTGCGAGGACAGTTACTTTACTTGTTAATTTGGTGTGAAGTTTTAGACATTTTCCAACTGTGTCAGTGCATACGTCGATGTTAATGATATTCCGTAGTTCTTTCGTGAATCTTGTCGTATATTATTAATCAAGTGGATTAAAAATTGCCCAACATTTCCATGAAGAATTGATGTTCCTAAAGGAAATGACATTATGCCAATTTTATTTTAAAAAATCCCAGGCTATTGATGTACTATTCCTTTTACAGTTCATTTCTTTAATTCTTAAATCTAGATTCATGCGGGTTTTATACTTTATTGCAGTGTCACTCTTTTTTTTTATGCATTAATGGTTAGGGATTAGCGCATAAAATGGATTGTCTTTGAATTAACAGATCTTCATTGATGTAAACTATTGATTTGTATTCGCCACAGAAAGACCGATATTGTACTCAAGTAAATAACAGGATGAAATATCTGCAGCAAAATGTTAAGATTAAAACGCTAGTCAGATATATCCTTCTGGTTCATTAATCCCAATACTGGTGTTATTTGCGTGGGATATCAAGCCTGAGTTTCATTTTATCATAATTTCACTATTTTGCAGCTCTCAGTTTTGAGTAGCAAACCCTTTACTAGGTATTTCAATATATAAATTTTTACATAAGCGGCTGCCGATGATGTAACAGGCGGCTGTACCCGGTGAAGGGGCCGTAAAGCGAATAACCCAAAACGCAGACCCAAACGCAGCTAAACAGACGGTGCTAAAAGGTCTTACAAGTGGCGATACACCGCTGGTAACCAGCTTTCGATGAAACCTCTGCTTTATCCAAATAAGCTGTTTTAATAACGTACCTGTAACTAAGTAAATAACTCTCAATTACATATAAAACTTCAACACTGGTTCAACACGAACATGAACAAATTAAAGTTTATAATTCTCACATTTTGGCTTATAAAACGTCGCGCTTCATCGAGAAGAAGTGATGATAAATTTGAAATAATTAATTCTTTTACATGTATTTTTATGCCAAAGAAACTTTGAATACTCATATGGCAAATGGATGCTAATTTTACGGTTGAGACGATTCTTGACATTGCAAATACTGTTTTCAGAAGATTCTAAAAAGCACCTGTTACGCAAATTAACATTTCTATATTTTGGAAGATCCCCCAGGGATGAAGAAGCCGCAGTGCCGAAAATTTTCACATACAACAGACTTTTGTGGTTGTTTCTGCGCTACCGAGTAAAAGTGTTGTTTCAGTCTAGATGTGACGTTGTGCCTTTGCAAAATAGCTCTTGTCACCATTGTGACATGCAAACTGACTAGGGTCGGTCATTATTTATCATTCTAATGATCCCCCCTCATTGGTAGTCAATTTTCTATTGTAGACAACGGCTGGTCACTAAATAGCGTCACGAGTGTGAAAAATAAAAAAAAAAAATCAGATTTGTAGCGCTGCATACAATTTTGTGCCAAGATTGTGACAAGAAGTACGGTGAGGGACAACTTGCTTTTTATTGGTTTAATATCAATCGGAATTGCTTTTCCGCCACGCATGCGCAGCACTGCTTGTTTCTGGCAAACCTTCTCACTCAGGAGATATGCTATTCCCTGCAGATCTTTGCGGTGCGTGGGTTACCTAGGGGCGTGGCTAGGCAAGGAGGAGATTCAGTTGGGAGAATGAAAAGCGGGGGACCCTACTCCTTTAGCTACGCCCCACATCTATTATCTAAAAAATATTTTATTGTCTGTTTATAATGTGAAATCACTTCCAGGTTTCTCCAGGACTTGAACTTCAGATGTGTTTGTAATGGGATGTTCCGCTTCATTTCATCATCGTGGAACAACCAAGAACCGGTCTCCAATATCAGTTTCTTTAGGATTGAAAAATCTCTCTATTCCTTTGAGTCGCAAAACTAAAATCACTTTGAAGGAATCTTGGAAACTTGTTGAGCCTGTTAAATCCGAGGCGGGAAAGGCAATGTTTATGAGGTAAAGGAAAATTATTTTACTTTTATCCATTAATTTTTCTGTTATTTATTCATTCATTTATTTATTTATTACCGTTTTATGGCAGGATTAGAGCTGGGAAAAGGATATGAAACGAAGAGGGAGGGTTGAGCTAGTCTCAGTTCCCATAGTATATAGCAACTATGGGTATCAGCTCGGATCAGAAAGAGGCGTGAACGTAAATACAATAATAGAGATGTTAAATTCTGCATAGTTAACAACTATTTAAAAGGAGGTGGCTAATAGTGAATATTTACCGAGGTGCGAGGCACCGACACTGAGATGAAGACTTTTTTTTAGTATGTACAGAACAGTGGGATGATACGGCACAAAAATTTGATTGTAACTCATTTATTTCTGCAACGATTACAATATCTTCAGGTGCAAATCCCGCACGTGTTGCTCAGAGGTGCATAGCAAAGGATATTCGGGGTTTGGGTAGCCAATCAGAGCTCGCCTTCAACGCTATTCGCTGTTTTAAGTATACTACCAACTATTAGGATCATCTGTGGAGAGGGGTTAAATTATGCGAGATAACAATTTGTCGCACTTTATCTTTCTGCCATTCTTAGGCTTTTTGAGACACATCCAAACATCCAAGACACGTTTCCAACATTCAAAGGCGTCAGCTTAGACGAGCTGATGAACTCTCGATCTTTGTATCTCCATGCCAAGCGAGTTATGGCTGCTGTTGAAAATACTATCAATGCATTAGATGATGGTGAGGTGTTATTGGAGAGTCTTACAAGCCTGGGACGAAGACATCAAGTTTGGTTTGTCAGGGAGGAACATTTTAAGGTGTGAAAACTACACTATTTAAGCCCTCGGACATGTTCTTTGTCGATGTTCTCTTTGCTCTATAATTTGGATTTTGTCAACGGAGTTGATAGAGCAGTGCCAAAAGTAACCCATGATTGCTTTGGTTTCGCTTCACTTCTCTCTGTGATTGGTCCAGACAACTAGCGCCTTCTTCTCAACCAATCAGATTAAAAAATTAAACCAATGCTGATTTGGTCTCTCGCGTTCAGTCCCGCGTTTCATGCTGGCTGCCTGTCTTTACTGGATCAGTTGTCATCGGTTAATGATGATGTCAACCTTCGCTCTGCCGTTGTGATTGCTATGGCATTGGTTTTCGAAACTCATTTGAAAACTGTTTTAATGTGAACTGGCCACGGTTAGGAGATTCTAAAGCAGACGTTTCGACTCAGCGAGCTCTTTGTCAGAGTCAATCGGGGAATTATAGGTTGCGTGCGGTTTATGTACAGAAAGATGGAACAACGCTATTGGTGCGAAGATACTTACATGAAAAACACAAGATTAAATTAATTGAATTTTTTTTAAAGTTTTGATGAAAGATAGATTTTTGTTCTAGAGTCTTTCGGCTTTCCGTGTTACCTAGATGTTAGGGAAAGGCCTCAGACTGCCATATGTTGCTTAAATACGTCCCCAAACTGAATGAAATATTTTCTCTCTGTTTTTCCCTTGCAGGTCGTTGGTGAAGCTCTATTATGGACATTACAGGATATGCTCGATACAAAATGTACGAATGAAGTTACACTGGCTTGGACAGAGTTGTATAACTTCATAACTAAAACGATGTTACGTGGAATTCTAAATAATAACGTAGATAAATGAATAAACAATTGTCTAAATACGGAGATAAAGGAGTGATTTGCACGCAGTATATCTATCACGAATTATATAATAAGCCCAGTTATACACGCATTCTGATTGGTTCTCACTTATGATCTATTGAAGGACAGACGCATAGATGACGTCATTATTAAAATTTTTTTTTTAATTCTTTATTATATAAAGCAAATAGATTCCAAGTTGTCGTGCGTCTGTTCAGTAGCAGATCACAGAGGACGTAAAAATGTGGTAAGAGCATCAGTGACACACTCGGCTGCGCCTCGTGTGCCACTTTTTTGTTCTTACCACATTTTGACGTCATCTGTGATCTATTACTGAACAGACGCACGGCAACTTGGTATCTATATGTTAAATGGATCAGAATTGAAAAGAAACAGATGGAAAAAAATGCGTAAAATAGAGTCCTTTGCTTCATGTTTTATTCATGGTCTATTATTCTTGGATACTTTTTATGTTTATCAATTTTTTTTCAGCTGCAAGTAATCCTGTAAATAAGAAAATTGACAAATAAATAAATAATAAGATAAATAAACGAATAAGTCAACGAGAAGGATTTTTAGACTGCTAGTTTTGGCAAATTTTCAAAATTTCTCTAATCTTAAATGAAGACGAGGCGTCGTCATCATCCAGGAGAGCGTCAAATTAAAATGTTAGTGCACTTCAAAAAAGACTAACATTTGGACACTTGAGTATCATTGTTAAACATAAAAATTACAATTTCCTCGGTTGTGATTGGTTTAAAAAATTCCTATTTTCCACTAATACATTTGCCAAGTTAATATCGGACAGTTTGTTATCGGACAGCTTGATAAACCAATCACATTCACAGTTGTAGTTTAAATCAACCAATCACTTTCACAGTTGTAGTTTAATCAACCAATCACATTAAAAGTTGTAGTTTAAGTCATCCAATTACAAATTTGTATTTAATACAAATTTTCGTTTCCTTTTTCTTTCATAACTTGGCTATTCTTCTTTTCGCGGAAATCTTCCGTAGTAAGGCCAAGTGCTGCTTTGTATCCTGTTTTTCTTACAGTGGAAGTTTTTGATCCCTTTAGCAAATAGATTTTATGTTGCCTTGCATCTCTTCACCAAAAGTGGCACACGAGGCGCAGTCAAGTTAGTCACTAATGATCTTACCACATTATGACGTCTTCTGTGATCTATAACTGAACAGACCTACTCAGCAATGGCAACCAAGATATTATAAGCTGTTACCTCTGATCTTGTGGCAACTGATTTCGCTGCCCAATTGATGCGGGATGCGAGCGGATGTTTGACGTAAACTAGTAGGATTATCAAAGTTCTATTTTGATGGGGAACCTTTCTAATAATAAAACTCCTCGGGAAAGGGTTGAATCAAGAGAATATCAATTGATATTCCCTTGGTTGAATCCAAGGCTAAGGATGGGAGATAGAGGATCCTTAAGTCATCTTGTAATGGTTCTTACCGATGTTCAAGCGAAATGAGCTATATATCTCTTGTTAACTAGTTCAGTTGTTATGAAAAAGTGTAAAGCCAAAGTTGACTTTCCAGCCTCTTACGTTGAAACTGTGTGCAAAATGCCCATCCGGAAATTAGTACGATGCTAATAAAAATATTATTTTTCGTCACCAGCTTCGTTTGAGCGAATCCCGCCTAACATCGTTTTTGTTATGAACTTAAACAGTTCTGTCCAGGCCTCTAACACTTGACTCGTGCATTTAGACTGAAGCATGTCTTGCAAAGTCCATAGTAGAGCTTCACCAACAACCTACGAAACAAAAACGAAAACGCGTCGTAAATAATCGTGAATCATCGGAAATAGTCTTATGACATCAGTGTGAGGTATCATATCTAGTGTTCCAGAAATGATTTGGAAACGTCTGTTAAATATATGTCGAATGCGCAGTCCTTTTTTATAGGTATAGGAAAAATGATCAAAAATGTTATTAAGAAAGCAAATGCTTGAGTATCGAAGATTATGCAGCAATGCATCGGTTGGTATCTAATTCGCTCCATAATTATTCTAAAAACTCTTGCCCGTTATTCGACCAATCGGAAAAATAGTTGACAAATGGATTCCTTGTTGCCGCGCGTCTGTGGAGTAACAGATCACAGATGAAGTTAAAACGTGGTTAAAACCAAAAGTGGCACACTAGACACAGTCGAGTATGCCACTGATGTTCGTAACACATTTTGACGTCTCCTGTGATTTGTTACTGTACAGACCTGAGGTGGCATGGAATCTCTTTATTTAAAATGATAGCAAAGCAAAATGTTGTTAATGATGACGTCATCTACTGCAATAGACCATAAGTAAGAATCAATCAAAATGCGCGCGTACTAATTCACTTCCCCACCCCTACCCTTCTCCTTGAATTCTGACAACCGCCCCCTTGGTACAAATTTCCTTCTCTCCCCAGCCTTCTGCTGCCATTAAAATCAAAGATGGCGGCTATAATTTTCGTTAAGAAAATACTAAGCACTCGCTCGCCAAAATTACGCCAGCTCTGCAAGCTAGTGCGTTCTCGCAAGCTTCAAACAGTTTGTTTCTTCTTTACTTAGAATTTCTCCGGTTCTGCGATTCAGGAAACTTAGTCGAATTGCACACATTTTAACCGTTTCCCTGAATTGATAATTTACCGCAAAGTGGTCTTCCGTAACAGACCAAGCCTGATGTCTTTGTCCCAGGCTTGTGAGACTCTCAGTTAAGACTTCACCATCATCTAATGAATTGATAGCATTCTCAACAGCAGCCATAACTCGCTTGGCATGGAGATACAAGGACCGAGAGTTCATCAGCTCGTCTAAGCTGACGCCTTTGAATGTCGGAAACGTGTCTTGGATGTTTGGATGTGTCTCAAAAAGCCTGAGAATTAATACGCATGGTAAATCAAATGGTTAACCCTTGAACTCTCAGAGATGATAAACATCTAACTTCTCCCTAGAACATCCACTTACATTATACAGCAAACAGGTAATGAGAATACCCAAACTCATCAGGTAGAGGTTGTTATCTTCATCCGACACCAAATTCTCGTAACTAATTTATAGGGAAATGGGAAGCAGGTAGAGAGGAGAATTGGTAATCAGGTCTTGGAAGACGGAGGGTTAATGAGCTGGATCACGATAGTTTTTAGAAAAGGTAATCTTCGTCATTGAGCCGTCAGACCCCTTCGCATGAAGATACTGAGAAATAGAAACCCCGGCTCGTCGGAGCTAACGCCTTTTTCACGTCTTAACTTTTGTAACTGCTTCAAAATCAAATAAAACATCAAAATAAGTGTTTTCTGGGGCAGGAAAACCTCAGAAGCAACAAAAATCTGAAAGGAATTGAGTGATTTTTCAGAAGATAAACATGAAAAAAATCTTAGCTAAACTTCTGGGCATTCAACAAATGACTGGCTGATTGGTTTTAAATATTTGTTGAAATCTCTCACGCCAAAATAGTCATCATCTCTCTGTAGGGACACTATTGTACATGTGAAGTTTTCCTTTCTTTTTCCTCCGAGTTGTTTTGTTTCACATTCATCAGCTGCACAAACCGGAAAGTAAAGATCATCACGAAAAGCTAAATTTAAACTGACCATACACTCAAAATGTATTTAACAGGATCGTTTTGGCTCTTCTACTGTCTTCTTTTCAACAAATCAAGAAATCAACCAAGAAATCTTGCGAAGTGTAAACTTTTGCTTAATTGTTATATCAAGAATTGCTCTACATTTACTATCATTAGTGTTAAAGTCATGATATGCTAATTTGTCCTTAAACATCGGATTCCATTTTCGACGCAAAATATTTTTAATTTGACGTTACTAGAGCATTTTTCCACATTTTAAATGACAGGTAGCCCAATAATTTTATTGAAACTTGTGCACAAGAAAGATTACCTCAAATTCAACAAATTAATGCTATGTCGATGACGAAAACCGATCCCTTAAATTTAATCCCTTACGTAAGAAGAGAAATTTTGAGTTCTTTAATTTAAAAACTATGAAAATTCTTACTCTGTGGGAGTAAGATCAAATAGTCTAAACACGACACATTAAAGCAAAACAGAGATGAAACAGAATCAAAATGAAAAAAACCTCAGGAAGATATTTCATAAACTAAAAGTTTACGAAAATTTATTTCAAATATCGATGGAAAATGAAATTTAATATATTTCATCACATCTTGATTCCGTGCTGTATGCTTAATTCGTAGCCAATGACGATATTTTTATATTGAAATTTGACCTACCTCACAAACATCAATTTTCCAGCCTCGGTTTTAACAGGCTCCACAAGATTCCACGATTCTCTCAGTGTATTTTTCGTATCGGCTGATAAAGGAACAGCGATTGTCTTCACTCTCGCCGATGGCAGATGTCGTGAAGCGACACGATGATGAAGCGAGGCCGAACAACCCATCGGACAGCCTCATTTGTCATTCAATATCTGAAAGGAAGGGATGTTTAAATATAAAATTCAAATAAGTTTCAAGCAATTAGTGGAGCGGGGGAGGTCATTGAGAGAGTTAGATTGGTGAAGCTTTTGCTGTAATTTCAAATGAAGATTGAACTTAAACCTGACACTCCTACTTTGCGTAATTGGAATGTCGGTGTCACAGTTTGGATCATACTGAGTTTAGTTCTTGGAAACTGTGCTCCTAACTTTCATGCAGATATAATTATGGGGCTACGCTCTGCGAGCTCCGCTATTAGGAGTTACATAACATTACTTAAACCCACGTAGCTAGCGTTTTTTTATGGTGCGCTTTCAAACATCTTTCACGCATCGGAGTCGTGAAAAGGATGGGAAAACGAAGTGAAACCACGAGAAGGCTTTCTCTTCACCAAACCGTTCGGAATAAGCTTACGCAAAATCGCTGGTAGCTACACAGGCCACTTCATGTAGGACCTAACCTTGCGTTTGTTAACGTTTCCTCAGTTGCCTATAATTCCCAAATTTATCGTTTCAAATTCGTGTTCCTTCGCTCAATCTGTTTTATTTATGCCATCACCTTCCAATTTAGCAATGGCACACAATTTAAACGAGGAATCGCTAACTTAAAAAATGAGCATTGCATTAGCAGTGGGGGTGCAATGTGCCAACGGCAGGTATGGTTTCATTTTGCCAAGAGTAGACACACGTTCCGTGAGGACCTGGAATTTTTTATTTTATTTTTGGGATACTGATTACAACGAAATCTATCTTAATTTTATATGGAGATGAAAAATTGGAGCTCCGTTTATGGAATAATTAATAAACATTCACCAGTGTGGAGGTAAATGTTTATCAATTTCACCGACACTGCGAGGTGAATCATTGTTTTAGCATACCATATACCACAGAGATACCAAAAAAATCTAAGTTTATCCCTTTAAATATAGCAAAAAATGGTTGGAAATTAAATTCTTGACGAACGATTTTGTCTCATAGGCTGCCGGGAGGTGAATAGTACTTGGTGTAGCAACTTGTTACTCTCGGTGCTGGCGAAATATTGGTCACCTTTGTCATACGCTGTTACTGAACCCTTTAACTCCAGTTAGTGACCAAGACAGAATTTCTCCCTACAATGTTATTACAATATCAAGCAGATAAGTGATGAGAATAAAGACAAATCTTAATTAGGGGGTTATTACTTGATCCAATACCAAATTCCTCAAACAAACATCACAAGGACTGTATGGCAGACAGTAAGGAGAATTACTAATAAGATCTCCGGAGTTTAAGGGTTAACGATGCAGTACAAATGATAAATGTTAACATGGTAATATGAGATTACTTTGTGTTGAGATTAACCACTCATAGGTATGCCACTTTGATCCTTAATTCCCAGATGAAATTTTTAATTCTCCTTACTGTCAACCATACAGTTCTTATAATGTTAGTTTAGAGAATTTGGTGTTGGATCAACTAAATATCTCCAAATTGATATTTTTCTTCATTCTCATCACTTATCTGGTTGATATTGTATTGATATTGTAAGGAGAAACTCTGTCTTGGTCACTCATGGGATTTAAAGGGTTATATCGATGTAGTTTTTATTTTTTTTAAATTTTTTTATCTTTTTTTCACACGAGCGTGGGACAGAGAGAAAAGGTTATTTCCCTCACGGGAATCCAATTCCAGCCTTTGTGTGCCGATGCTCACCTTTCTCCCACTCTCGAGATAAAAAACCAAACAACGTATTTACATAGATTTATATGTAACCGTTACAACATAGCAACGTTTCGACATGTCTAGTGCCTTCATTCGTGACGAGGTGTAAATAGGCGTCAGGAAGCAAACCGCCATTGTCACGATGTAAAGGAGCGTGGGCGGAGTTAATGTGCCAAGCCTCCAAACAAAGGCGCTGGTGGTAACGCCGATTAGTGGTGATAATTTTAGAATTATCCCACCCAATTGTATCGTTAGGCAAGTATGCTCCGATAAAGCTGAATTTTCCTTTTTGCAAAGAAAAACCGCTGTACCAAACTGGCGTTTGGTCTGTCCGATGTATTCGTTATCACAGTCGTTTGAAAGTGAAGAGTTGATTACACAAAACCTCAATTAACCTGTATAAATCGTTGAAAGTAAAGCGTATTTGTGGTTGCTAAGCGATATAAAAACCTCAATTAACCTGTATAAATCGTTGAAAGTAAAGCGTATTTGTGGTTGCTAAGCGATATAAGAACACTCGAGGAAACTTTTACGACCACCAATGTATTTAAACCGCGCAATTTAGAGCGTATTATCTGGTCATTGCTAAATTCAAATAAAAAATTGTTTTTTTAAAACATGTTTACAGTACGTACCAGTTTTAAATTCGTATTATAAGAGTAAATAAAATGATTCTAACCAACAGGAAAGAGCAACAAGCCTAACGCGCTGAATCCCTTTGAAATCCTCTTTTAGTTAGACTTACCAGTCCATTAACGCATTATGTTGTTACGTTGTAAAGCCCGACAAATTGATAACAGCTCAAAACGCTACAAAAAAGTATTCTTTGGGTTTTCATTGGAAGGATAAATTTTTATGTATACTGTTATAGCTATAGCTTGGGATTTTCCAGATTACTGTTCTCAAACTACTGTGGTCATGATTGCAATTACCCTTTCGCAAGACTGTAATGAGCTCTTGTTTTAACAGAGAAATGATACTCACAACTCAAGTGTCGTATTTGAATAGCAAAATTTTGCAATTTCTACCAATGTCCTTTCGACCGTATTTTTAAGCTTGTTGCAAATTAATATGTTACTTACAGTTAAAATTTATCCTTGGCATTCGCATGCGGTCTTACCTCTTTTAGTACAATGTGGTAAAATAATTTTAAATGATTGGTCAATTTTGTTTAACATAGGGCGTGAAAAAGTGAAGTGATTTTTAACAAACGGTTGTCATGACAACATGTTGCAGGTGGCCTCTGTGAAGGCAGAATTTCTTGCATTTTATATTCAAGTCAATATGGGTTCTTTAAATCGAAAAAAAATTCTGAATGTTGCAGTAATTGGGAATGACTAAAGGCCTTTTTGTAGCTTAATAATGAATTCAAATGACTGACTCTAATTTTGGTCAATTTCCCAAAAATACATCCTTTTAAACATAATTTAGCTTGACGCACGAAATAAGTGAATCTATTTTCCTTGTTTTTAAGTCTGAATCAAAAAGCTAGACTGCTATGATTGGGAGGATTAATTAAAAAAAGGACGGGAATCGGAAGATTTCTTACGGTTAACGTGTACGTATCCATCAAATAAAATAATCCATACTTTACACGTGCGATGTAAATGCACTATGAGAAAATCTCGGTTTTGAGAAACTTGACAGTAGAGATTGAAAATTTGTGAGTATTTTTTACAAATCAACATTGTCGAGTAAATTATTATAATATTTTACACGGAAATATGTGCAAAAATAACGAAAGAAAAGTATTTTAAACCTACCATCTATTCCTGAACTGTTTAGTGCAACCTCACATACCTAAATTCTCGGCTTAGACAAAATCTAATAAAGATTTGTTTGTGAACTCTTTTTGTTTTTCAACACGACTCTGTTGAGCGAAATATTTACCAAGTTATGAAAACTCATAAAATGGAAATGATAACCTAACATATTTATGTGAACTGATCTTGACAAGTGTGGCTCGACATCTCATTTAATTCGCACGCAACCCCTTGAAATGCGGCCAATCTATGTTCTGAGAAACACGTGATTTCACTGAAGATTTAACCTGGCAACTGCAAAGTCCTTAACAGAATAAAAATGTCCACAATAGGAAATCTAATTGAAAGCAATTAATTATACAATTACTGAGTACAGAAAAACAAGGATCCTGTCCGCTTAATCTGACAAATTGGGCCTAATATATTAACTTCAAAAACTGCAATTCATAATTTTACAACAGCCATTGGCGACACAAGCAAAACCAAAATTTGAACACACACTCTGACAAGTTTTTCCTGATATTTCATATCACTAAATTATTATGAATTCTTAGGACGTTTTAGCTCCTGTGCAAGAGCAATCTTACTTTAATCTGCAATAAGTCAAAAATTGAAGTTATTACATGTTTTTGCTTATAATGTTCCCCGTGGTGTCTTATGTGTGAAAACAGAAATTTCCAATTTAAATTTATGCAAGGATTTTGTTTTCTCACGAAGACTTTAGAAATTTCCACGAAAACAATCAAATTGTCTTGATGTTTTCTATGATGAGGGTAAAAATTGAAATTTCTTTCAAATAGTATTAAATCTGGCAAGTTTCCACAGTCGTGGTGAGTGGAAAGGAAACTCTTTCGCTACATACATCACCAAAGGAAACTTGTAAACAACGGTTGTCAAGCAGGACTTCCCAAAACGGAATTCCTCTTTGAACCTGTTATAACTTCGTTGATTCGTGACTTTTTAAAGCTTCAGTCAAGAAAAATTGATTTTGTTCTTTGCACGTTTTACCTTTGACAAGTGCCTTTGTTAAAAGGAAAAAAGGAAAAAAAGAAAATGATCAATCTTTGGACCGCAGCGGACCTGCCAGGAAAATCTCGTTGTGTTTTCATTTTCAAAAAGCGTGATAAGCTTCGTGGAAAGGAAATCGGCTTTTTTAAAGGTAGAACGTGCTACTTATATGAAAAAAGCTTTAACAAAAGCATCATATTTACCATGTAACTCCAGCATCTTTTCTGTGAATTAAGACTGTAGAACGAATGGCCGCTAAAAATTATATATAAAGCATACGTAGTTATATAAGATCTGACGTATATCGCCTTCGTTTCCGATGAAATTAATTGAACACGCAAGTAATCTTATTATGCAAATATCTTAATTCACTTGTTGTGAAAGACAATCAATTAGCAATGCGGCAAAAAAAAACATCAATGCAATGGATTTGTTTGTAATGTTTGCATGACATCATCCGCTTCTATCACGTCGCGAAATCAGTTTATTAAGAGACATTTTATTGTTTCTTTTCTTCTGTCATTGATTTGTGTAAAGGTTGGATTTACTAACTCTAGATCCTGGATGCCAGTTCTTGTACAGGGACACTTTCATTTCACGAGAAAAACTGTCAAAGAAAAATTTGCTAAAAATAGTTTAAACCGCATTTACGAAAAAAGCCTTTTCATCCTATTTTTTCTTACTTCATATGCAAAAACGCCTGAAAACGCGGATGAAAACGGATACTTTCAAAATTGGTTGAAAAGTGAAGTGTTTTGAAAACGTTGTGCTTTTAAAAAGTTCTCTTTCATATGTCGACAAGTGAAAAATGAGGCTTTTAAAAACATTGACGAAATATGTGGCAAATACTGTCACTTTCATTTGCATTTTCGGGTATTTTAGCGTGGACGAGAACACATTATAAGTTTTCAAACGAAGACGCATCAGCGTGGGGAGAAATTTTAAACATTAGCAAGACAGTAATGTTTTCGTGGGTGAAAACACTTTGCTTGATTTCATTTGAGACGAAAACCATCACTTTTGAAAACGCATTAGCGTGGTCGGGGCCCTAGGTGAGATGTTAGGAACCGTTGTTAATAAATTAAATCCTAAAGGGTTTAGGTCAATCTACTGCTAATGTTTTTTTGACAGGTGTTGACGTGTGTATCTAACGAAATTTTTTTCTAGACAAGTGGGAGGATAGTTGTCAAAGGAAATCTTGATGGTGTAAATATATGTTATTGACCACGCGTGATCGGTAAAGTTTGTTCCTAATTTAGGAACCAGTTGTTCTTCATGGCCGGGGAGGGATGGGGGGAGGGAGAAAGGGGATCACGTATTTTTCAGGGGGAACGGATGGGATCAGTCGTCATTAGCAGAGTATTAGGGGAGAGTAAAGAACACTGACTGCCAGTGAACTGCCAATGAGGGAAAGCGGGGGCTGGTGTGGGGTATAAGAAAAAGAATATTACAGAACCTTATGAGAGATTGGGTAAATTTTCTCGCAACACAACCAAAATCCTCTAAAGCCAACCCACCCCCCCCCCCTCCCCACACAAACGATAAATAAGGACATGTCCATAAGCTATCTAAAAGAACAAACTTAAGCTACAATTAAAATAATTTATAATACAGGTCAGAAATTAAGATTACATAATAGAACTGCTAAATCAATTCGCGAAATTCGTCGCGGTATTCTTTATTTAGGAAACTTAAGCACAAAAGATTTTGAGACACCAATGGCAGCCGGAAATTAAAACTTCCTATTCCTGATGCTCAAAACATCTTTTTGGTCAACACAATTTGGTTTAAATTGCTAAAATAAAGACCCTATGGTCGATACTTTGGCGTCAAAAAGAGCGTAAGAGATAATTTTATTTTTCATCCGGTGTTTGTGCGCGTCTCAAAAGCGTCTCTGCTTTTGTGACTTTGATATTCCCAATACTGTCGGAAAAGGTTTACTTTTCTAACTATCGCTGAGTAAATAGGATAGGAAAGAAGGGAAATTTTGAACTGTTTATGGAACAAAACAAAGATTCTAATTTTTTTTTTCGTAGCTATGAGCGTAAGACAAAGAGAACAAAAATCGATAGTAATTCGGAGCAAACGCGAAATCCGAAGGTCTGAGGGTCGATTCCTCACGAGAAATCATATTCTTCTTTGTTCCACGGCTGCGAAAAGCTGGAAAAACATTGTTCTTTAAATCTTTGATTAATTTGTTAAGATCGTAAACACAGTGTATTTACAACAAATATTAAAATGAGCAATCTTTAGCGAGAAGTATGAGCCAATCATAGCTCAGGAATCGTTTCATTTTGTCGGCTCGCGAGGACGACCTTTAAAACTGTCCTCGAGGACTGGGGTTGAGGATCAGTGTCGCGTAGTCCACGATCTCCTTCGCATCTCACTGGCCCGCGTTACCCCACTTAGTGCAACTTCTATTATGTTGCAAATTTCATTGTCTCTCCAAATTAAAACAACAAAACAAACAAACAAAATAAACAAACAAAACAAACAAACAAAAAATTATACATATTTTCCAGCACAGATTATTTCACTACCTTATCTAAATTTTTTTGTTGATAGACTTGATCGAAGGAAGAGGCGAATTGGTACAGTCCATTGATTGAAACCAAACCCGTTCCTATAGCCTCTATTTTTTTCACCCCCTCGAGCGTTTGAAGAGCAGGTCGGATGAAAAAAAAAAAAAGATCAGAAACGATGTTCTCATTTTAAATCAGAATTAAGGGCGAATTACGAAAGTAAGTTATTGCTCGCTTGTTCTTGTCCTGTCAACATGGTTTTAGCCATGAATCCAAACAATTCTCTCCAGGCTTTTATAATTTGTTCCGAGCAACTTCCTTCAAGAATGTCTTGTAACATGAGGACAAAGGCCTCTTCCATGACCTGAAAGAAAGTTGAAAACGCGTTTCCCACCAAGCGTTTCAGCGTTAACGTTTCCCACAAGGACGTAGTTTTATATCTACTTTATTAAAGAGCATAATAAACAATGTAACATAAAAAAGATTCCCAGTAGCGACTAAAGGTTAAAATGTTGGCCATCTTGGAGGTTGAGGGTTATGATCTTCCTGCTACGGTAAACAGAAATGTTAAAAATTGATTTCAATCATTTTTTGAGGTTAATGATAAATTTTCAGCGTACTAAAACACATTTACTCGCTCCCTTAATTTACCATTAGAGCGTGAAGCAATAAGGGAAATACCAGATCGAGCTGCCCTTGGCTTGATATAGAGCAATTTTCTGTTTTCCTACATACTACTCCATACTACTCCATCAGAGGTTTTCATTTGCAAGGTCAAACGCCAGCCCCTAACCGCTTAGGACTTGTTTAGAACTACTTCTTTCAAGGAGATCTCCAGATACCTTTCAGAAATAATTTATTGATTTATGCTGCATTCTTCTGAATATCTCTGAGATGTCCAAGATCAGTCCTACCTGTAAGTATTTTTCAGACTCATTCATTGTAATGGTCATTCGCGAGAGTTTTATCCACGAACTGATGACAAGAGCCATCTCGTACAATAACAGGGTAGCTTTCAGCTACATAAGCTTTCTTACCTTTAAGTGTTTCTCAGTGATAGACATCGCTAAATGTCTTTCCCCAAGGTTCGTAAGATCTTCAATCAGCTCCTTGGCATCATCTAAAGATAACACAGTTTCCTCCACTACAGCCATTAAACGCTTGGAATGCAGAAACAACGAGCGGGAATTCATAACTTCGTCCAAAGCCACGCCTCTAAACGAGGGAAATGCGTCCTGGAGGTTGGGATTCAGTTCAAGAAGCCTTCAGGAAAACAGAAATTAGTTTTGTAACCGAATTAGCTTTATCATCCGTTTTTTTACAGAAGTTTTCAATTTCAAAAAACCAGAACCAAAGTAATCACAACATCCAATCATAACAAAGGTTTAAATCATCATTAGCCAATGAACTTTTAAATGAAACAGACAAACTATCGAAAACGCGGGAAAACGCGGGCTACCAAGTAAAGAATGGTTTTCGTTGTGCGTCTGATTAGTTAAGAGGATGATGTAAGTTTAGAAGACCAATCACAGACCGAATTTAGGCAAAACCAAAATAATCTCTGTGGATCACTTTCGACATTCAAATGAAAATTGTTCTAACATGCCATACGTGACACTTTAGAAATTTTTGCTGATATCAGAGCAATTTTCGTTTGGGTATCTTAAACAACCCTAGATTTCGTAAGTTTTACGTAACTTGCCTCTGTGATTGGTCTGGAAAACTCGAGAGAGGCTTGCCTCGTTCCCCTCTTCCCAGACCTCGCGCGAAAACGCGAAACAGAGCTTCTCATACAAAATTATTCCTTAGCTCGAAACAACATCTTAGACGTTTTTACCTTGCGAATACTTTCTTTCCTGCCGCGGTTCTCCTTAGGTCCAAAGTTTTCCATGATTCTCGCAGAATGATTTTATTTTCTTCAGAAACTGAGATTGAAACTTTTGTGTTTACCAAGCTGGAGACCAAAGGATGAACCGCTTGGTTCTTGGATTGTACCGAACTTGTGCAGCCCATCATAAATTCAGCCCGAAAGGGATATAGGGAACGTCACCCGTGAAAACGAAGCTAGATTTCTCTGCGAAAATAGAGAAAAAATAAGAATTTCCTGTTTTAGCGTTTAGATTAATCAACCATTAGCCTTACATACCGCTATAAACTGTGAGGAGAATGCTATGATGACTAACTTGCAACAGTGTATCTGCTTTTGCTGTTGTAAATCGGAAAATCCCGACAACATTGAAATCGTTCGTGTAGTTTGGCTCCAGCGTAGAAACCGCAACTATTACCAGCTGTCTGGCTCGTTCTGCTGTAAGCCATTAAAATGACAATTAACAACTCTTCACCGAAGGAGAGGTGGCTAATGGTGTATATCTACGTAGATATGAGGCAGCGAGGTAAATATTCAACACTAGCCGCTGACACTGAGGGGAATAGCTCTTTTAAGTATATACTAAAATGGTGAGATAATATATCACAAAAAGATGATTTAATTCGTCTTTTCCTGCATCGATTACAATATTTTCGGAAGAAAATCCCATTTTGTTACATAACTATTTTTTATGAGCGTCAAAGCGTAATTATAACCTGCACCTTCTTTTATTGAAGTGTTATCCACCTGTACTGTAAGGAGCAATTTATTTTAAGTCAGATGAATTACTTTTCCTCCAATCTGCAACCTTCCATTTCTTTTTGTAATCATGCGTCCTCACATTAGAAGTGAGAGATACCTCTTTACTATCTCTCTCATTTCTGAGAGCTTATTTATAAGTTTTTTCTCGGTTATGATTGGTAGTAAAGACATTCTTGGACCAAGTTCTGTCGTCTGCTAGTCTATCTCAAAGATCAGTAATTGTAAGATTGAAACAGATCCCGACCTCTCCGCAACAAACTCATCTTTCCTGGTTTCTGAAATATATAGAAAACTTATAAAAAACCAGCTTATAGAGCTGGCCACAAAGACACTTAGCTGTTTCATCAGTTGGGATTCGATTTTGAATTTTATGATAACAATTTTATTTACATCCGTACATTTGCTTTTTGTCAGGTTGTGGGTGAATGAAATTGAAATTTGGTTCAAAATTTACTTTTCATCGTGTGCAAATCGCTACCATCCAACACCGTTTACAGAAGTAAGGGACTTTTTAAAGCAAAGAGTCGCAGAAAACTCAAGATTTCTAGAAACTTTTTCAATCCAATATTCTAAATTTACTACTTCGGTCTCTCAGATTCATTATGTTCTTATGCATGTTTATTGTTATGGCATCAGTAAAGATGCCTTTAACTACCTTGAAATTGCTGCTTACATTCCAGTCATTCTAATTAATGAGATATTTTCGTCATGTAACTACTATTAATGACATTAATTATTTATAATTGCTTAAAAGTCAAACTTGAGCAACCAATTTCTAAAAACACATTTATTTTACTTTTTTGCGTTCATTAGAACGTATTCAATTTTTTCTTGCTCTTAGGTCTAGAGGCAGACAAAACACGTGCATGTTTTCGTTCATAGATTATCGCATATCATTTAGTTTTAACAATTCATATTTTTTTTCCGGTGGGTTAACTGAAAAGTTCCTATTCATGTCGGAAAATGTTCCTTTCGTAACTTCATGGAGGGCTTCTTTGGTCGGTTGTCGACAAGTGAACGAAAACATAACAAGAGTATTCATCGATGAAATCAAAAAGATATTGTTATGTTGGAGTAGTTTGTTAAAGGGGAACGTTTTCTGATTAACTGATGCAGATAGACAGACCCAAGATAAAGAAATGAGGTTTATGAATTCAAATAACCATAAATTTTACCCTAAACTTTACTTTAAAGAGTCTATACTATAAATTGTACCGTAAAGAATCTTACCGAGAATGTTTCTGATTGCTTCTTATCACAACGGTGTTTCTCTTCGTCTCATCGATTGCTCCGCTGTACCACAGGTAATTGCAAGCAAGACTGAGTTTTTTTTTTTACGACAAATGAGACAGAAGACATTATCTGGTTGCATAGCAACCTTTCCTCTTTCTAACCTTAGTCTGTGATAAGTGTTATCATTGGAACAGAATGTCTTAATTAGCACTCAAAGTGCTCAGTCAAAGCAGAATACAGTCGAACTTGTATTAAGCGACACCGCATTAAGCGGTCACCTTGTATTAAGCGGTCGGTTGTCGAAGTTCCGAATTTGTATATAAATAATCGCTGTAATTTTTGCTTCTATTGAGCAGTCACCTCCATTAAGCGGTTTGAGTAAGTCCCAACGGCCTGTTTGTATTGTCTCCCACCTGTATTGAACGGTCATTTAGAGCGGAACCACTCAAATAAAACTAAGAATAATCTTTGAAGTAAAATTCAATCTGTTTCTCCCCCTAAATCAATGTTAGCAGCATTTTTTAGCGAGTTTTTGTTCATTCGTGGTCAATAATGCCATAAAATGACGTTTTTTAGCGTTTCTTATATCGCTCCTCTTCTGCGAAGCCCCGAAAAAAGCGGTTTACCCCTGTATTAAGCCATTCGCCGTGGAATGATTGTATTTTTAGCTTCAATGGGCTATAACTTAGTACTCCTCCGCGGACCTATCTTTCCGATATTGCTTCGCATGAACCGTGGGGTTATTCGGAAATGTCCGTGTGGTCTTCGTAAAGTTCTTGAAAGCACATGACACTTTTATGAGGAGTCTTCCGCTTTCGTTACTTCTTTTGCAACGTATTTTAAGGCCTCAGAACTCCGTTTACCTGGTTAAGAACTCTTTCTCTGTGTGTGTGTCAAATTCGTTGTTTAAAAGTGTAGCAGTCTCCACAATGAAGGAAAAGAAACCTTTTGAACGACTTCCAACGAGCGTGCTTCCAAAGAACTACAAACTGACATTAACACCCAATCTCACTGAATTTACTTTCGCTGGGGAAGAAGTTATCGATGTGGAGGTAAGAAAATCGTGGTTAAATTTGTTTAAAAAGTAATAATGATTCACGAAGTTGCTCTCCGAGTGGCAATTGCGATCGGTCATTCATAAATGCGGGAGTTTCAGTGTTGCATTTAATGTGAATTTTTACGAGGAAATTCATGTTAGAAGCGCTCGCGATCTCCTTGTTCCCATACGGGTAAGCACACAGTTACAACCCATACAATTTTGGATTTTTATTCAATTTTTGTGGAATTTTTTAAGAAAATAGGAAGACTGCCTTAAAATGCATTTTTGACAGGGTTTAATAGAAATATGTTGGCCCTCCTCCGCTCCTGTCCCAAAATGAATGTGTAATAGATTTTTAGCGGTTCTAAGATTATAAGAACGTTATGTTTTTTACAAAATGTTTCTCGAAAGTCATGTATCCTTTATTCACGTTTCTGGACGCCACAGCAAAAGCGACTGAACTGTTGAGAGGCCCGAATCGAATAGGAAGGTTGGGGGAGGGGAGAGAGGGTGGGTGATTCGGGCGATCATATGTTTAGCCCTTTACACCCTAATATCAGTATGTATATTCTCCATACTGTTCTCAAGACATTTCCTAAGGTGGTACAAGGAGAATTTGTCTAACAATCAAGAGCTCCTTTTAATTAGTTGGTGATCATTTCCTTTATTCTCAGGGTTGATAGGGGACATAAATAGTTTTGCGGATGAGATCAGGAAGAGTAAATGATTATTTCTTTGATGGAAATATGTACAACACCAGTAGGAATAAATTGCTGTTGGTTTTCAGAGCTATGATGCTGTTCTAATATTCATTATAGGTTCAACAGACTACAGACAAAGTGACTATGAACTGTTTGGACATCGTTGTTAAGTCTGCTAATTTCTCAGCTGGTGGATCAAGTAAGTTCATGCCTCAATTTTGTCCATCCCAAATTTTGATGCCATCTGTGATCTATTACTGAACCGATGGACTGCAATGCGGAATCTATTTCTTAAGGTGATAACTTTTTCAATATTCTCATGTACTGGTAGCTGTCGACTCTTCTGAAATCACCTACAGTAAGGAGGATGAAACAACTACAATCAGCTTCCCCTCGTCTCTCCCCTTGGGAAATGGTCAGCTATTCTTGGACTTCACAGGAGAATTAAATGATAAAATGAAAGGATTTTACAGAAGTAAATATACTGGAACAGATGGAAGTGAGAAGTATTGTGCAGTCACTCAATTTGAGGTTTGTGTGTTTTAATCTTATTTTTATAACTGTATTGCATTAGATCAACGTCCAGAAAATGGAGAAGACAAGATCAAGATGGCAGTTTAATATTCAGAAACTTTAATTTCAAGTACAACCCAAATACTAGTATGGAAAACTGGTCACGCAACATTGTGTACAAGAAAACCTAAATGGAAAGATATAACACCCCAGTATAGTACCGTTTTGAGCAAACATTAAGTCCTTCAAAAATTTATTTCAATTTACAACAATCAATCTTCATACAAACCGAATCAATGTTGGATTTAATGTAAATCAGGGAATTCAATGAAAGTCAGTTACTGGCAGTCTGTCCTTGTCTACTGATAAGACCTGTCACTGCCATTTACTTAACCAGCAATCTGGTTCTTGTGTTCAGATGTTGCCTTGTTGTACAGCAGCCTATTACACCATTGGCTGCTGGTTATGGGAAAAATTATTTGAAACCTCTATCTAAATACTCAGATTAGAGCTAGGGATAATGCTGGTTAAGAGAGAGTAGGGGCATTTTATTATTTATAGTTATAAAATGGCTGCTAGTTAGAGTAGGAAGTTTAGGTGCTGTAGAAAAAAAGAAGAAATAAACCAGCCATCATGCATTTTTGCAGGCTAATGGAACATCCTAAGGATTGCTTTTCCTAACAGAATGAAAGAATGAAACTCATAAAATATAATCAATGTTTCTCCCAGATTCAACTGTAGACCTCTGAGCCTTTAACCCTTTACACCCTGAGATCATTTTGCATCTTCTCCATACATACTACATTCTCCTCTAATGATAACTTCTCATGGCACTTGCAAGGAGAATTTGTCTAACAATCAATGGGGTCTTAAGTTGGTGATCATTTCCTTTTTTCTTGTGATGTTAATGTTTCATTCAGGGGTGATACTGAGGAGAAATTAGATGTTAGTCACTCTTAAAGGGTTGACTGCTAACCCCACCGTGAAGTCTTGTGCCAATGCAAATTTGGCTCTCTATTTTTGAGAATTTTGACCTGTATTGAGATTTAGGGGCCAGGTTATTTTTCATTACCAGTGCCAGAGATCAGACTGTTACTCTTTAACTTTTGATGTCCTGAGTTTGTATGTAGGCACACAATATGTCAATCGTGTGACATACTTGGTATGTCATGCAGCTGGTGAAGGGGTTAATACTTACTAACAGAAGTTTTCAGTTGGCTACATTGTATGTGAACCTCCAACACTAGTTGCCAAATTGCAACCTGAGTTGCTATCAAGGGTCTTGAAATGTTTTGCCTTTTGCCATGGTGATCAAACTAGTTGCACCTCAGAACACTGAACTTTGGACAATTTAAAGAACCCTCTAGGAAACTATGTTCTAGTACTAACTGGCTCTACTTGTCTTTTTCAGCCAACAGATGCCCGACGAGCTTTTCCTTGTTGGGATGAACCAGCTCACAAAGCCACTTTTGACATCACTTTGGTAGTGCCAAAAGACAGGGTTGCTCTATCCAACATGGTAATTGTTGTGACTCCATACTGTTGTGAAATTATTCACCCTAGATAATTAATAATTAAAGTATTTATTAATGAGTGACTTGTTGTCCTAGTTGTTGTTGTGCTGGAACTTGGATCAAGAAGTTTGGGGTTGAGTAAAGAGCTGGAATACATGTGGCTGTGTTCATAGGAGGGAGGTGCTCTTCTTTCCTAGTACTTCACTCCACGCACATGCCATGAATTTGTTTTAGAGATTTGCTAACCCTTAAAGTCACATGAAAGACCATCTTGAAGACAGAATTTCTCCACTTCCCATGAGGGGTGCAGAAATTTGTAACTGTGACCCTTGTATTGTTTGTTAATTTTATTGTAATTATTATTCCACACCACAGAATGTTGTGGAAGAAAAAGATGCAGAAGATGCCTCTCTTAAAGTGGTGACATATGCCAGAACACCAGTCATGTCTACATACCTTGTGGCTTTTGTTGTTGGCGAGTTTGATTACGTGGAAGGAAAAGATTCTGATGGTGTTTTAATCAGAGTTTATACTCCAAAGGGAAAAACCATTCAGGGACAGTTTGCTTTAGAGGTTAGTTGATAGCTTTCCTCTGTGGGAGATATTGTGAGCAAAATGTTATTTTTGATTTACAGTTTTCTTTACACATTTATTATTCCACTATGAGGCCATATTACAGAATGAGGATACTGGAAAGAGCAATGGAAAGTGGAGCAACAAAAAAGCCTCAGAGAAAGATCCAAAGTTTGATTTGGTTTTTTTCCTTTTTTAGGCGTATATTTTTGAGCAAGAAACTTTTAAGCACATTTAATGGTTTTGTAATGTGTTGTTTTGGTCTTTTGCTCATGCCTTCTGCAATTGATTCAAGGCCATTCAAGGAGGTATTTTGCAAACTAGAAGCCATTGAATACTAGACTTTGAAATGATAGTGAAATAATAACCCCCTTATTCCATGGTTAAACATATATAACATTTGGACAGTTGACTCATCACTCATTTTTTTCTTCTCAATGTTCCCTCAGAACAATTCTCTTTTTGTTATCTTTCTTTATTTGTTCACATGGTTTCTTTTTTTGCTCACTTTTATCCTAGCTTCTTATTTTCACTTACAGATTGCAGACAATAATTATAGCTCTTTTGATGAAAATAATTATTTGGTTGTAAATTTTACAGGTTGCCCAAAAGACACTACCATTTTATAAAGAGTACTTTGAAATCAGCTACCCTTTGCCCAAAATGGACCTGATTGCCATTCCTGATTTTGCAGCAGGTTAGAGGCATCATTATTAATGGACAATACACTCCTCAAGTCTCTCATTTTTCTTGCCTGAGTAAGCTTTTGAACCAGATGCTACTGTAACAGTAAGTCAACAGTATCAACTGGAAACTTCATTCTTAGTCTTCAAAACTTTCAAGATTGGTGGATTGAGGATCAAGGATTGAGAATGGACAATGGAGGATGTAGGGGTGATATGGAAGAGTTAAGATGTGGCTTGCATATCTCAAGACTGCATTGCCTCTGATATTCAAGAAGTGAATGAAAATTATCTTGAAATGTCTGTGGCTTATGTCCTTCCACTCCAAGTAGAACTTAAGTCTGTGAAAACTGTCAAAAATCTTCTTCCTTAAATTTGTAGTTTTCACCACAGTAGATGCCTTCTGATGTTGTTTTTGCTTATATCAGTGTGTGCTCAACCCTAACCTGCATTGGCATTTTTTTTCTTGTGAAATGTTAAGTTTATATTTTAATTTGACTTCTGTTACTGACCTAAATGATTTTTCAGCTTCCTTCTTTTAAATATTGCTGTGATTGATCTCTTTTATTGTAGGAGCTATGGAAAACTGGGGTCTGGTGACTTACAGGTTAGTTCTCATAAACAGTGGGAGATGCAGTTCAGTTGTCTAATCTTCAGCATATTAGACTCTGAGTTGAAAGTTCTGAGTTTGAGTTTCTGGCTAAGGCATCTCAGCAAAATACTTTGTCCTTGCAGTGCCATTTTCTTCCAAGGAGTATGAACCCTTTAACTCCCAAGATCTGATTGCTAATCCCCCTTTCTAGCTGCCACACATTTCTTTGTAAATAAGGAACAAAAATTTAGATTAAGATTACAACTTCTACCCGATAAGTTTGTGTATTCTTATTTCCTGTTTGCAGGATAATGCAGTTAATTAGAAGTAACTCACTTTTGGGAATTAAAGGGTTTATTGGTACCAGAAGGCTGGCAAAAAAAAAAAAAAAACAGATGAAAGAAAATTTGAAGTGCTTGTCAGCTAACATGTGAACAATATGCGAGGTTTAACAGGGTAATCTAGTATTATCAGCTGAGCTGATATTATAAAGAGTTTCAAAGCTGCTGTTTCAAGCATTAGCCCTTTGTCAAAGCAAATGAGAAAAGGCTAACGCTCTGATGAAGGGCTAATGCTAAGAACTTCAGCTTTGAAACTCTTTACAGTGGCCAATTTAAGTTATTAACTCAGTTGATGATACTTAATTACCCTGTTATACTCTTTCACCAATGCAACACCACAGTTTCTGTAGAAACTTAGCCCCTTTGTTCTTTTATCAATATGCTGGGTGGTGTATCCTCAACCTGCCAGTTACAACAAGTGATTTAAAGCATTTGTAGACAATTAGATTGAACCATAACCAACTGTGCTTCCATAACTTGTCCTCATCATTTTTTTTTAATCCTTTCCTAGGGAAACAGCTCTTCTTGTTGATCCAGAAAACTCATCATCTGCTGCCAAACAGTGGGTTGGACTAGTTGTTGGTGAGTTATTTTGAGAGATTCTTAATTAATAACTTGTTAAAAAAAAAGTAATTTGATTTTGGTTTCTTCATTTCAAAGGTCATGAAATAGCTCATCAGTGGTTTGGAAATCTGGTAAGTGTTAAACAGTTACCTGACAGTTTGGGATCAATATCAGTATCTGGGCAACTGCCCACCTACCCCTCCCCTAACCCAGCATTAACCTTGACTGTTGTTGAGTTAGGGGAGGGGTAGGTGGGCAGTTGCCCAGATACTGATATTGATCCACAGTTTGTATAGTAATGCTGATAGACAGTCTCTTTTGCATTATTAATGTTTTTTGACCATTTATTCTAAAAGACAAGAGAACTTCCAGACTTGAGCTTCTTTATGTATATAATAATTATATTATAAGTTTGTGGGAGCAATAGTAATTTTTTAGGATTTTTGGGGGCTTTTGAATGTCAAAATTTTGATCTTATGATATCCATCTTTCTTGAATACTGAGTGCAGAGTATTTGGAAAACCTACAGTTACTGTAGTAGCCAGCTAATCTTACCATTCTCCCTGAATTTTGGTTGGAAGAGGCAATCTTAATTGGAGGGGAGGGAGCAGGGGGTGGGGACAGAAGGGTGGGTGTGTGCAGAGGGAGGGGGCAGGGGGGAGGGCTGGGTAGGGGGTAATAAGTGAGAGGGAGAAATCTTATTTAGGTTTTTTGCATTAGCTGCATGTTGGTGAAAATGATGTTTGTGTTTATAATCTGTTTTTCTTTTTCTTTTTCTTTTTTTTTTTTTTTTCAGATAACCATGGTATGCTCATTTTTATTGATGAAATGCTGTGACTATTTTTCTTTCAAGGATAAATGGTTGTTCTCTTCAATTTCTTTGTAAATTACATTGTTTTACGTTTAACAGTTAAAGTAAATTTTATTGGGAGATAGACTGGCCTGATGGTCAGTGCACTGGACTGCAGGTCAAGAGGTCTGGGTACAAGACCTGGCTAAGTCAATGTGTTGTGTTCTCTGGCAAAACACTTTACTCTCACAGTGCCTCCCCCCCCCCCCCCCCCCAGGAGTTTATATGAGTATTTGTGAATTGTCAGGGAAGCCTGATGAAATAGTGGAGGAGGGGGAAACCTTGCGATGGACTGGCATCCCATCCAGGGGGAAGTAGTAATACTCTTAGTCACTTCATCTTAAGGAAGTCAGGAAACCAGGCCACTTGGCTTGTGTTCAGACTTTTCACCTAATTTTATTGATGCCTTTTAACTTCAGATTTTTCACTCTCTCTCTCTTTCTTTTTGCTTGTAGGAATGGTGGACACATTTATGGCTCAATGAGGGATTTGCATCATGGATTGAATACTTGTGTGTGGATCACTGTTTTCCTGAATGGGACATCTGGACACAGTTTGTTACATCTGAATTCTCACGAGCTATGGAACTGGATGCTCTTGCCAACAGGTAGAGTTTCCTCTTAAAATGATTGCTTGTAAAATTTGATTGTTTCATCTTTAGGCTCACACAGTTGCTTTAAACCAATGAGTTTCCAAGCATTTCCTTTTCCTTAACTGGTTTTTCTCTAACCCTTTCATTCCCAAGATCTCGATAGTAATTCATCTTACTATCTGTGATACAATTCTTATGATGTTAGTTCAGAGAATTTGGTTTTGGATCAACTCATAATCTCCTGATTGATTTTTTAAATTCTCATTATTTATCAGCTTGATATTGTATTGATATTGTAAGGAGAAATTCTGTCTTGGTCACTGGTGGGATGAGATTAATATACTGTACATAGAGTAATGAGTTCCTTTTCTTTCTCTCTCATATCCGCACTTTTCAAGTCACCCAATTGAGGTTAGTACAAGTTAGTGTATGTAGATATTTATCTAGGGAATGTGTGCATGAACAATTTTTATTCACAAGTTGCAATGCAGTAAAAAAAACCCAACAAGTGAATGCAGCAAAAGAGTGAGTTTTTTGATGTGTTGCAGCTAAAGAATAAAAATTGTTCAAACACTTTCCATGGTATGATGCATTTATTTTGTTCATAGCGAGATTTATACTGTGAAGTAGGAAGTGAATGACTCCAAAAGTACATCGTTTGTCCAATCAGAGCCATGAATGATAGTACCTCACAGTGTAAATCTCAGTATGTATGAAATAACTGTATTTATTGCATAAATGCACATGCAGCTGGTTACTAGTCATGCATTTCTTAAGATCTGATTCATCATTTTTCACATTACAATGTAGATGCTGTTGATACATTTACTTGAAAATCAGTCTAGAGATGTCAGTGTTGCATCTTGATGACACTTTTCATGTGTAGCAATTGTGTACCTGTTTTAGTTTGCCCAGTTTTTAAATTCTTCTTCATTATTCAGGTCCCTGTGGGTCATCCAGGTGAGATCGATGAGATATTTGATGCCATTTCATACAGCAAAGGAGCTGCTGTCATTAGGATGCTGCATGACTATGTAGGAGAAAAGGTATGTTCCAACAATAGACTTACTCTGGCTCCTCATGCCTCTTCCTAATCTTATTCAAGAGTTCTGCAGGTTATGTCCAGTTGATTTTTAGCCTTTAACCCTAAAGAGTGACCAGCATCTATCTTTATCCTACACTATCAACTCTAAATCATAAACACCAGCCTAAAAAGCTCTTGATTGTTAAACAAATTCTCCCTGTCAGTACCTTAAGAAATGTATAGAGAACAGTATGGAGAATATGCATACTGATGTTAGGGTGTAAAGGGTTAACACTTAAGGGACTGGATCATGCTTTTACATGCTGTACTGTCACATGCTTTTAGTACGTGATTTTCCATTTGATGCTTTATCTTTTGTTTTAGGCTTTCAGAGAAGGACTTGCCTATCATCTGGACAAATTTAAGTACAGCAATGCCTCAACTGGTAACTATGTTTTGCATATATTTTTTGTTTACAATTTTTTTTCAGTTCAGATTTGCTAACTGAGATCTCGAATTTCATCCCAGACATTGAAAAAATAATGATCTGGTGTAGATTATATTCTGTCATTTGGGATTGTTAGTGAGATTGTTTGAATAAATCTCTTTCAGAGGACCTCTGGGCCAGTCTGTCTCGCGCCAGTTCGAAGCCTGTAGCTGATGTCATGGAAACATGGACCAAACAAATGGGATATCCTGTGTTGTCTGTTACCGCTGAACAGGTGTGTGCGTGTTGTCTGTTACCGCTGAACAGGTGTGTGCGTGTGTGTATGAATATTCTGCACTCGATCTCTTTTCTGGAAGAGGATTTCCACCAGTTATTCGAGAGTGGTGAAATGCTCCTCATTTTAGAGAGTCAGTGACACCTGTCCGGTAATGAAAACTTTGGTTATAACTCAAGTGTACCTTGGATAGCAAAGTATCGGTAGTTTTTCATGAAAACTTTGGACGCATGTCAACATTACGGAATGCGTTGTCTGAGTACTAATGCGGGCTGCAAACTCTGGCCTTTTTCGTTAGCTTGTCTTCTTTACCTGTCTTAGCTCTACAACTCTCAGGAGTGGTCAGAAATGAATTTGTTCTTTATGATATGAATACGTTTTTAGGTAGAAAGGTTTGGAAAAATAGAAAAATATCAACAAGGGGATATTGTGTGATTAAACGCAAGATTTCTGGAGCTGAAATTTTAAGAAATGTCGGTTAGGTAGAGCAGAAATTGTTTTTAGATCTTGGAAAGATCTTGGGAAGGAAATGGTAAAGGAATGTTATCAGCTTGCTGTGTTTTTCGTTTTTCAGAAAGGAGATTCAAGAGAGGTTACTATCACTCAGGACAAGTTCTTTGCCGATGGAGTTAGTCAAGGTATGGAGTTTGAAATAGCAATTTACGGTTTGTAACTGCTCGGACCGGATTATTTTGCAACAGATTGTTTTGGGACTCGAGGCAAGCGTTCATTATACAGCTATGCCGTTATGTAATCACCAATGCCAATCAGAAGTGAAGAAAATTTAGGATGAGCTTAGGAAACTCAAAGTAAATGCAGATCAACGATCTAACGCGCGGGAAACGCGAGTGACCTACATGTAGTCAATCACAGTTTGTAATGAAATTAATTTTAGTTTAACCTGCGGATTGAAAATCAAGTAAAGCAATGGTCCTCGCAGATGAGATGCAAATCAGTTGACATTTAAATGCTGTGCAATCCAAAGCATTCAATTCTTAACGTTCATTTGCTTGAATTTCATGCTTGAATTTCTTGATTTGATTCTTTACCACTAACCTGCTGTGAAGTTGTCTATGAGAGATAAATTTTTTCTTTAAATTTGTTCACTGCAGGGTCTTACCACTGGCAAGTACCTGTAAGCATATCATCCAGTGCAAACCCTCGTGAAAGTGTAGCAAGTACTCTGTTGGATCAGAAGTCCTGTACTCTGACAGTCAGTGGTGTCAAGTCAGATGAATGGGTCAAGGTATGCTCCATAACAACATCTTGATGCCAACACAGGCTACCCAAGCTGTATTATATTGCTAATTGGAAAATTTTTAAAAGCTCTTCTTTCCCATGAAGGAATCTGATCACAATTTTTAATGAAATAGTTTGACAATAGTGTCCAACTAGTTTCCGGGAGACAACTCTGGGTTCAAATCCCGTTGAAGTCTAAAAGTTTTATTGGTCTTTTTGCGACTGATTAAATTACAGTCCACCTGGAGGATCATTTCCTTGCCTCAATCCCCGTTTCTTTGACTTATACCCTCAATTCCTGCCATTTGCGATGCCCAACCAGATTGAGTTTCAGATGAAAAAATTGTTGGCGAGATAGGCCACTTCATCAGTTCTTATAAATTAATCTGTTTTTATTTCTTCTGCTGTTTAGTTAAATCCAGGCCAAGTTGGTTTCTACCGAGTACAGTACTCGTCCGACATGTTGGAACTTCTCCTGCCGGCCATAAAGGACAACAGTCTTCCACCAAGGGACAGATTAGGACTGGAGAATGATCTGTTTGCGTTGGTATGTACATGAGTACTGTGAGATAGCTATGGAATGAGGATGGTGAAATTAGAAGTGTTGTGATCCAGAAATCGCACAATGTTGACCTCCGCCTCTTAAAATTGTATGGAATAATTTACTCTAACTGCGTTTTGAGATTCTAAGGGTTACCAAGCCTTTCCAAAATAGCCTTAAGCATGCTTATGTCAGATTAAGCGATTTTCCCATTTAGCTCTACTTTCACCATACGTCCTTACAATCTTGTGAATTTTATGATAAACGAATTCTCAGAGCAGCAAAGATGCAATGAGTGTTATTGACGAAAGTCAGAGCAATCGCAACAGCCAATCGGATGAAAGGAAAGTATCACAAGCAGCCAATGAGAACGCAAAGTAAAAACAAACAAACCGCCTAAAGCGCGGGAAAACGCGAGTGACCAGATCGCGATTGGTTTTATTTTTGAATGTGATTGGTTGAGAGGATGGTTCGAGATTTCTGTACCAATCACATGGCAAAGTAAACAAAACCAAGTCAATGCGACGCTCATTGAAAACTGCTCAAATGTGACTCAAGATTTTGAACTAAGCCCTTTTATGTTTACTTTTGTTCTCTGCAGTGTCGTGCTGGCCTTGTGCCCGGACCTGATGTACTGAAAGTGGTCGAGGCATTTAGCAACGAGACAAATTACACTGTATGGAATGACTTGATTTCCAACTTGAGCCATGTCGGAGCAATTCTCCAGTACTCAGACTGTTACCCTAGCTTCCAGGCGTTTTGTACCAAACTTTATGAACCAATCGGCACCAAACTTGGTTGGAATCCAATCGAAGGAGAGAGTAAGTCTGTTTTTTCCCCTTTTTTTGTTATTTTCGTAAATACTTTTCTTTTTCCAGGGTGACAATGGATCCGATCAAACAACGCGCTCGCTGATGCGTCGATGAAAGTGTTGGTGACGTTTTGGTAGTGTGTCAGTGGTCCACGCTTTCTTTTGATTCATTTTTTTTTTGTTTTATTCTTAACCCTGAAACACAACCATTAGCTTGAAAGAATGAAACTAAGCAGTATCATTCATTAAGCTTGTTATTCAATTTCAGGTCACCTTGATGCCCTCCTCAGAGGTTTGATTATTGGACGTTTGGGTAAATACGGTCACCCAGCCACTGTCGCCGAGGCGCAGAAGAGATTTGAAGCACACTGCAAAGGTGAATCCACCATCCCAGCGGATTTAAGATCAGCGGTGTACAGCACAGTTCTTAAGCATGGTGATGGTAACACCCTAGAGTCTGTGATGCAACTTTTGAAAGAAGCCGATTTGCACGAAGAGAAAGTCCGATTGATGAGATGCATGGGAGCTGTATCACAACCTGATCTGATCAAGAAAGTGTGCGACTTCTCCTTGTCGGTACGTTTTATTAAACTGTGTATAAATTTTTTTTTTCACCGTCAAGGCAGTGTGGAAACCATGTATGGTATCTGACTACATGCTTTAACCCTTTAAACCCTAAGAGTGACTAGGATCTAAATTCTCCCAACAATATCACCCCTGAATCACACATTAAGGTCATGAGAATGAAGGAAATGATTACCAACTAAAAGAAGCTTTTGATCAGTAAACAAAATCTCCTTGTCAGCACCTTAGGAAATGTATAAAGAACAGTATGGAGAATATGCAGACTGATGTTAGGGTGGAAAGGGTTAAGAGTTGTATGTGTCTTTGAAAATCGTTATACGGCACATTACCCAATAACATACCTTCTTTTTTTTCTTTTTTTTTTTTTAGGATCAAGTTCGGTCTCAAGACACAGTGTTTGTGATTGCTGGCATCTGTGGAAGGTAGCGGCTCTCTCTTATTTTTTATTATTTACCATCATGGTTTGTGAAGACTGAGAATGTTCGTTTATTTTTTTCTTTCGCTGATGTGTAGTGTGAAAGGGCGTGAAATGGCCTGGAAATTTGTGCAAGAGAACTGGGACGAGCTGTACAATCGCTACGAAGGAGGTTTCCTGCTTTCTCGCCTGATCAAGGTTGGATAACGTCTCTTATTTCCTAGAGCACGTTTAGATAAAGTATTTTAAAACCAAAACGTAAGGAATCACAAAGACCAATAATAATAAAGGAAAAACGTTTTAGGAGACGGATAGAACATAATTTTAACTCATACTAACTGCCCGAAGTTCGGAAAAACGCGAGTGACCATGGTGCGATTTTAGTAGTGGATCTACGAAAGGTTAGCGCCAGTTTTCCTAACAGGTGTTCGTAGCATAGTAGAACAAAACCAAGGCAGTTATTAAACTGAAATTTCTCAAAAGTAAGAAGATTATATTTAACACGCTGGTTACGTTTGGTTTTGTAGTGGGATGACTTCTGCCCGGGGAAAAGTCGGCTTTATAACGAGTTCATATATTTGCTTATTCTTTTTTCGTTTTTATTGCAGTGCACTACAGATATGTTTGTCACTGAAGAGGCCGCCAAAGAAGTCGAGGTGAGCTACTCATTCACTCAATTATTTGAGCAAATTTTCTAAACTCTATTTTTTCTATGATTTGTCGTATAGATTCTTTTCCTTTTGCATTCATATCCAGCTGACATAACGCTGCAACGAAATAGAATTTTAAAAAATGCGAAAAAAAGAAAGAGAAGAAGAAGAAGAAAAAAATAAAAAAACGACGGCATTGTTCATATCATATTTTTTGCTGGGTCAACATACCCTGTTTATGCGCTTGCTCACTGATGTGGTGAAGAAGACGAAACGAGGCCAAACTCCTTACCATGCTCCTTTCTTTCTCCCTCGCGGAAAGGAGGCTGAACGAAGCTTTTTCAATGTTATTGTTATGTTTTGGCTGTAATATTAGATCCAGTTATTCGCATGTCTAAGGATATAACCAAACTTATTTTGCCATCGATTTTTTGGTCTTCAAATTTATCTTCTGTGGTGTAAAATATCTTAACTGTTTCCCAGTGTGAACGGAAAACTTAAGTTGGGGTTAAAAAAAATGAAAACGCCGTTGTCAAAATCCGCTGGCGTAGTGAGCGACCCAGGATTATCTTATTATTTTCTTTTTAGGAATTCTTCGCCAACCGTTCAGTGCCAGCTGCAGAGAGGACCATTCAACAGTCCTTGGAGAACATACGACTCAACTGCGCATGGCTTGGGCGCGAATCAGAGAAGATCAGCGCATGGCTCAAGGAAAAAGGATACTAGATGCACGTGACCCGCGTCAAACAAACCGATGTTCATTCTTAGTACAGACTTTTAGTAGAAAGAGAATCAGTTCAAATTACGCGACGAAAAGTCCTCGCCCAGGATGATTACTTTGTGCTAAAAAGCCTGCATACAGATGTGTCCTCTCCTTTTTCTTTTGTCACACGCAGAGAGACAGCGGTCATTTGTCATCTGGGAGGGGTCGGAGGAATTTTAGTCATGTCACGATAGAATTAGGCTGATTCTCACCCCGTTCCCCCTTTTGGGGGGGGGGGGGAGTTATGTTAACCCCACCCCCTTAAAAAAAAAAAAGGAAAAAAATCCTTCGAACCATTATGTATCCCTAAGCGATAGAACTGAAGAGAAGAGAAGCTCTGCACACTTGCTTGAGTGAATTTTAGACGTTAAGCCTATAATTAAATTCAAACTTTCCCGCGAGATGTTTTTTCCCTAATTTTAGTCTACTTGTTCTTCAAGAATGCGGTGGAAACTCACCTGTGGTTAAATAGTCTCCTTCGCAACTATCCTCTAGGATGCCTTGCAGATATTCCCCAAAAGAAGCAGATAAGGCTTTGCGTGACATTGTGATTTCCAAAGGAAGATATGGATCTTAGTTCTGTCATGGACGACGCCTTGATCAAAAAGAAAAAAAAAGAATGACAGAAATTCCACCCCTCTCTCCCAAACGCAAGCTGGCTGCAAGTTAGGTGAAGCCCCCATCAAATAAAATTTTCTTCATTCTAAAGAGAACATTTTCTAGCAGCAGGCGCAGTAACAGCCACCCACTCTTAATTAACACAGCGGTCAAACGTCGGACACGCGCGAGTGAGATCAATAATAATTTTGGCCAGTTGTGCGCCGATTTCCCGCCCAACATTTGTAAGAGAAACATAAAATCACAGTCTATTCGCAGAACTCTATAAAAGGAATCAAAAGTGGGGAGATGAAAACTTACGACTTTCGATCCCAAAGCTTAGATTCAAATAAAGGTATCCAGTTGATTAACCATTCTCTTTCGTTGCGTTACCCTTAAGGTGTCACACATTAAAAACATGCGTGACGGAATCCGAAAGGCACTGGGGTAAACTGTTTCTCGAAGTGCGCATGATTACAGTTTTCATTTCTCTTCCAAGCAATATACCATCGGAATTCTTCTCAGGCTTCTGTTTCGGTACTTCCTGCTTCCTTGGAGCTAGGGTATCAGTTTTTTTGTATTCCATTACGCGCTTCAGCATCGTCACAACAACAATGAGCAGTGTAAAAACCTTTTGAACGACTAAGCGTGCTGCTAAAGAACTACAAACTGACTTTGCAACCAAATCTTACAGAATTTACCTTAACTGGAGAAGAAGTTATCGATGTGGAGGTAATATAACCGTGGTAGGACTAAAGAAATATATATAATATGTAACTGTGTTCACTTGCAGGTTGAATTCTATCTTTGATTAAAATTTTTCTTCCTTTGTGTATCTGACATGCCAAAATATTTGTATGATAATCAAGTGATTGCTGCAAAATTTGAGATTAGGTAATACTTTAATGAGGTTTGATACCGAACCAGTACATGAATACAATATTAATTCCCTTTTACATTTACAGTTTATATACCATTGTGATGATGTTAATGTGAAGAATCTTTCAACTTGAGGAGATGCTAACAATTTCCTTCCTTATTGGAGAGAGGGGTGCTTATTGGAAGGTGGAGGTAGGGTGCTTAGTAAAAAGCTTCCTCAGGCAGATTACTAACCGATACTAATACTAATACTGATACTAATTTATAAAGAATGGAGCTCATAAATTGGGAACTATCAATGAAGACCAGATGATCTCCAAGCATAAGACTCTTATATTTTTCCATATTGTTGGATATGACATTGACATTGGTTTATCTTCACCTTTTTTATTTTTATATGTATGTTTTTTAGAGATTTCACCAATCTCTTGCATTATAAAATGATTTGCGCCCAAGCCACGCGCAATTGAGTTGTGTGTTCTCCAAGGACTGTTGAATGGTCCTCTCTGCAGCAGGCACTGAATGGTTGGCGTAGAGTTCCTGAAAAAAAAAAAGGATAAAAGGGAAATCCTAGGCAGCACACTAAGCCAGCGAAATTTGACAAAGGCGCTTTAATTTTTTTAATCCGTCCACATAAGCAGCTCACCTCGACTTCTTTGGCAGCCTCTTCAGTGACAAACATATCTGTAGTGGACTGCAATAAAACGGTAAAAAAAATAAGCAAAGCAGAAGAGGTTATCCCTCTCTTAAACCAAACGTAACCAGCGCGTTCTAGAATAATCTACTTACTTTTGAGAAATTTCAGTTTAATAACTGCTTTGGTTTTGTTCTACTCTGCTACGAAAATTTTTAAGAAAACTGGCGCTAATCTTTCATAGATCCACTACTTAAATCGCACCATGGTCACTCGCGTTTTTCTGAGCTTCGGGCAGCTAGCATGAGTTAACATTATGTTCTATCCGACTCCTAAAACGTTTTTCTTTTATTTTCATTGGCCTCAGTGATTCCTTTGGTTTTGATTTTAAAACACTTAATCTAAATGCGCTCTAAGAAATAAAAGACTTTGTCCAACCTTGATAGGGCGAGAAAGCAGGAAACCTCCTTCGTAGCGATTGTGCAGCTCGTCCCAGTTCTCATGCACAAATTTCTGGGCCATTTCATGCCGTTTCACACGACACATTAGCGATAGAAGATAGATTTTAGTTGGTAATCATTTCCTTCAATCTCATGACCTTAATGTGAGATTCAGGGGTGATATCGTTGGGAGAAATTAGATGCTAATCACTCTTAGGGTAGCTTGTAGTCAGATACCATAAATGGTTTCTACACTACCTTTGCTTAATCTATGTAAGAAAGGACTGTTAACGAGATTTTCGATTGAGTATGGAGGCTTATCTAGGATTGCAGTGGCTTCGCTCTGTAATTGGCCACAATGTCAGCCAATCAGAAGCAGAAATAACACCACGCACGATTGTTTCTTTGAATTCTCCCGCGCTTAGGGCAGCCTGCTTGTAATAACTGTATGTGAGATCTCATTGGTTACTTGAGGTATTTTCCATTGTTTTGATTGGCCATTGTATCACTTTCAGTTTGATTTTCCGTCACGCAATAGAGATGCACCTGATAGTCTTACAAAGTTTTTGTTGCGAAAGATACATGATCTAACCATGGAGTATCTGAGTAAAGGCAAATTTGATGGCATGCTATGTTATTAACGGTGAAAAAAAAATTTTTATTTACAGTTTAAAAAAACATACCGACAAGGAGAAGTCGCACACTTTCTTGATCAGATACATCTCCCATACATCTCATCAATCGGACTTTCTCTTCGAGCAGATCAGCTTCTTTCAAAAGTTGCATCACAGACTCTAGGGTGTTACCATCACCATGTTTGAGCACTGTGCTGTACGCCGCAGACCTTAAGTCAGCCGGAATGGTGGATTCACCTTTCCAGTGTTCTTCAAATCTCTTCTGCGGCTCGGCGACAGTGGCTTGGTCACCATATTTACCCAGACGTTCGATTATCAAACCTCTGAGGAGGGCATCAAGGTGACCTGACATTAAATAACACGCTTAGTAAGGTTCATCCACACACTTATAATTTTCAATCTATAGGTTGACTAGGATCTTATTTTTTCTTTACAGTAGAAGCCCTGAATCACACATTGAGGTCACAGAGAATAAAGGAAATGATCACCAACTACAGTAGCTCTTGATTGTTAAAGAAATTCTCCTTTGAAGCACCGTAGAAGTGTAAGGAGAAGAGTACGGAGAACTATGCTCACTGAAGTTAGGGTGTAAAGGATTAAATGTTGTCAGTATCGTTTACAGAATACTTGACACAAATGATACTGCTTACTTTCATTCCTAAAAGTAAATGGTTGTGCTGTAGGACTAAGAATGAAACAGAAACAATTAAATAAAAAGAAAGCGTGGGCCACTAACACACTACAAAAACGTTAAGATTCCCGGACACATCTTCCAAGGATAAAAGTCATAAGCAGTGACCGAAGCCTCGAAGCTTGGGCAACAGTCAGAGTATTGGAGAATTGCTCCGACAAGACTCGCGTTGGAAATCAAGTCATTCCATACGGAATTGATTGTCTCGTTGTTGACTACTTTCAGCACATCAACGGGAACAAGGCGAGCACGACACTACAGAGAACAAAAGCAAACATTAGAGTGGCGAGTTCAAAATCGCGAGTCACATTTCAGCAGTTTTCTATCGAGTGTCGGTTTAACTTGGTTTTGTTCACTGTGTCTTGTGATTGATGCAAAAAAACTCGACCCAACCTCTCAACCAAGTAAAGCTAGTCGCGAACTGGTCACTCGCGTTTTCCCATGCTTTAGGCAGTTTGCTTGTTTTTACTTTGCAGTCTTGTTGGCTGCTTGTGATACTTGTCTTTCTTTTGATTGGCTGTTGTGATTGCTCTGACTTTCGTCAACAACACTCGTTGCATCTTTGCCGCTCTGGGAATTCGTTGATAATAAAAGTCAAAAGGTTGTAAGGATGTAATGCGAAAGCGGAGCTGAATGGAAAACCCTTTAGAGTCTAAAAACGCGCTAAAAGGGTAAATTATTCCGTACAATTTTTGGTGACGGAGGTAAACATTCTACGAATTCTGGAGCACACTTCTCCTTTCCCCGTCCTCATTCCGTAGCTATCCTGCAGTGCACATGTACATACCAATGCAAACAGATCATTCTCCAGTCCTAATCTGTCCCATGGTGGAAGACTGTTGTCCTTTATGGCCGTCAGGAGAAGTTTCAACATGTCGGACAAGAACTGTACTCGGTAGAAACCAACTTGGCCTGATTTAACTAAATGACAGAAGAAATAAAAGCAGATTCATTTATGAGAACTGATGAAGTGGCCTATCTCACCAACAATTTTTTTTTATCTGAAGCTTAGTCTGGTTGAGCTTCCAGTCACAACATCGCAAATGGTAGGAATGGAGGGTAGAAGCCAAAGAAACAGGGATTGAAGCAAAGAATTGATCCCCGCAGGTAATCTGCAATTAAATCAGTGGCAGAAAAGAACAATGAACCTTTTGGATTTCAACGGGAATCGAACCCGTATAACCAGAAACTAGTTGGACACTACTACGGAACTATTTCATTAAAAATTGTGATCAGATTCCTTAATGAGAAAGAAGAACCTTCTAAAATTTGCCAATTAGCAATATAATACAGCTTGGGTAGCTTATCTTAGCATCAACATGTTTTTATGGAGCATACCTTGATCCACTGATCTGGCTTGACATCGCTTACTGTCAGAGTACAGGACTTCTGATCCGACAGAGTACTTGCTACACTTTCACAAGGGTTTGCACTGGATGATACAATTACAGGCACTTGCCAGTGGTAAGAGCCTGCAGTGAACAAATTGAAAGAAAAAAAATTATTCCTTATAATCAACTTCACAGCAGGTTAGTGGTATAGAGAATCAAATCAAGAAATTCTAGTACAAAACTTTGGAACAGTTTTTTAATTGAGCGTCAAATGAGTTTACATTGAGACTCGAAAGCAATCCATGGTTGCATTGGATTCTCTTTATTGCATTCTTTAGCTGATTGAAAGATGCTACGGCCCCTCGTTTACACAATCAAATAACAACTTCTTCTTTTCTACGATTGATAAAATTGCATCTCACCTGAAACGACCATTGCTTAACTTGATTTTCAATCCGCATGTTAAACTAAAATTAATTTTTATAAAAAACTGTGGACTAGGTCATTCACGTTTCCCGCGCGTTAGATCGTTGGCCCGCATTTGCTTTGAGTTTCCTTAGCTCATCCCAAATTTTCTTCACTTCTAATTGGCAGTTGTGATCACGTAGAGGCTTAACTGTAAAATAAACGCTTGCCTCGAGTCCTAAAAGAATTTGTTTCAAAGTAATCCGATCTGAGAAGTTTCAAACCGTAATTGTTATATCAAACTCCTTACCTTGACTACCTCCATCAGTAAAGAACTCTTCCTGGGTGATAGTAACCTCTCTTGAATCTCCTTTCTGAAGAAATGAAGAACACAGCAAGCTGATAACATTCCTTTACCATTTCCTTCCCCAAGATCTCTCTAAGATCTGAAAACAATTTTCTGATCTGCCTAACTTACATTTTTTATAAAATCAGCTCCAAAATGTTGTGTTAAATCAAACATTATCCTCCTGTTTATATTTTTCTATCTTTCCAAATCTTTTCTGCCAAAGAACGCATTTATATCATTAAGAGCAAATTCCTTTCTGTTCACCCCTGAGAGCCGTAGGGCTAAGGCAAGTAAAAAAGATAAGCTGGCAAAAAAAGCCTGATTTTGTAGCCCGCAGTAGTACTAGGGCAGCGCCAGGTGGTGTAAACGTGCTTCCAAACTCTTTATGAAAAACAATGAATTATTTGCTATTCAAGGTACACTTATGTTGCAACCTAAGTTTTTATCACAGGAAAGGTACCATTGACTCTCTAAAATGAGGAGCATTTCGCTACTCTCGAGTAATAAGTGGAAATCCTCTTGCAGAGAAGAGATCTAGTGCAAAATATTGATACACACACACCTGTTTAGCGGTAACAAACAACACAGGATATCCCATTTGTTTGGTCCATGTTTCCATGGCATCGGCTACAGGCTTCGAACTGGCGTGAGACAGACGGACCCAGGGGTCCTCTCAAATAAATTTACTCAAATAATCTCATCAATAATCCCAACTGACAGAATACAATTTAAACCAAAATATTGCATTTTCAATGTTCGGGATGAAATTCAGGTGCCCAGGCAGCAAATCTGAACTGAAAAAAATAAGTAAAAACATATATGCATAACATAGTTAGCGTTGGATGCATTGCTGTACTTAAATGTGTCCAGATGATAGGCGGGTCCTTCTCTGAAATGTGGACAGCCATGTACTTCAAGCATGTGACAGTACAGCATGTGAAAGCATCAGTATGCATATTCTTTGAACAGTTCTCTAGACATTTCCTATGGTACTGACAAGTAGAATTTGTTCGAAAATCAAGAGCTTCTTTAGCTGGTGATCATTTCCTTAATTGCCTAAAATACCTTTGTTTGTGATTCAGAATTGAAAGTGTAGGATACAATTAGATGCCAGTCACTCTCGAGGGTTAAAGGCTAAAAATCAACTGGACATAAATTGTAGGTAGGAATAACCTACAAACTCTTGAATACGGTTAGGAAGAGGCACAAGGAGCCACAAATTGTTTTTGTTGGAACATGCCTTTTCTCCTACATAGTCATGCAGCATTCTTATGACAGAGGCTCCTTTGCTGTACGAAATAGCATCGAATATCTCATCGATCTCACCTGGACGACCCACAGGGACCTGCGCAATAAAGTTTAAAAACAGGGCAAACAAAACAGGTACACAACTTGGAACTTCAACTCCACAAAGCTCTTCAGATTTCTGATTCAAAGTTTCCTTGTTCTGCATAACATGCAAGCTCGAGCTTTTCTGAACAAGATTTTCTGCAAACTCAGCCGCTTGCTTAATTTTTTTACCATGGACTCTAGCTCCTGTTTAGCCGAGTTGATCCGCTTCAGTATTGACACGCGTGTTGCCTCGAGGGAGTCGATTGCTCGACTGACGCTTTTTATAATCCTTGGAGCAGTGAATTGAATTGTATTAATTAATTAATTATTATACATTATTATTATTATAATATAACGTACAATTAATTAATAATTATTAATAATAATGTATAATAAAAATAAAGTTCCCAGACAACAAAGAAGATTAAGTTTACGCTACAGATAAACAATCTAAAGTGGCAGACCAGCTTAATATGGCTAACCCTAATGCTCATTTAAAATATTTATTCCTCCTCAACAGTGAAGACCTAGCGAGAGCACAGCCAAGGTTTCAAACATTTGTGAGAGACATAGGCGGGAAAGCCCAAGACGTAGGTTTGGAGGACAGCTTGTTTCAGATGTGGGCAAGAGATAAGGCAGGAGATGGAATCCTTTTTAGAGAAAGAGAACAACCACTGCCGAATGGATCATTAATAAGTGCGCATGTGGTCCACATAGGCGAAGAACTGGTAAATAACACCAGGCAGCCGCGGCCGCCAGTACCTTGGATCCAAAACAAGACTTCCTCAGCTGTGTCGTAACGTCACATCTTTTGAGATTCTGTAATGACCATAAACATAAGAATTTATACCGTTCAACATGTATCTTTTGTAGTCGAAGCAAGATAATGACACTTTGTTAGGCTCATAGCTTCATAGTTGATGATTGTTACTTCGGATACTTTACATTGTCTGATGCATTTGCTTGTTATTAAATAATACATGTTTATAGTCTTCATGTTTGATGTTCTTTTTGAAAACATTTTTCTTTATTCCTTTCGCTGTTTTACCACCTTTATCACCATCTTTAATATGAGAATACATGTTACTTCTTACACTTACCAATTCAGTTATAAGGATAAATGCAGCTTCATCTTTGTATTCTCCATCCACCCTTTTTTTTTGTCTCGTCAACCATGGAGTATTTTCTGGATAGTCACTATCATCAAATTTATCTGTATTTTTCAAAAGTCTTAATACACATCTCCAGCTTCGATTTCGTAAGTTCAACTGTCAGTGTCTTTTTATAATACTTTTGCTTTGTTACCATACTTGGGTTTGATATAATTATAATGAAAATCATACATTAATGTCTTATAAAGATCAAGAATACACAATCCTACATACGCCGGCTTATTAAGAGTTAATGATTCTATGATCTTATGCACAGTTACTAGTAGGAGCATAGTTTGTTAATTTCAGTGTGCATTGCGGAACGATGAGAGAACTATTCACACACTAGCGAAAGCTTATCAGGGGTTTGTCGATTTTGGACCGCAACACAGAACAAAGGATATTCAATGAAGTGCTACGTAGCCTGCGTGTTTGTTAGCGCGCTCGATGTAAAGTGGTTTTTAGTTAAACATTATCACTCGCGAGAGAAACCTGATCTGGTTTACGCCCATTTCCGGCGCTACTTAGCTTGTTGAGTTACAGCGCTACGTTCGAGTTCGCTATTAACATGTAGAATTCGCTTGTTTTGTTAATTCACAGTTTTTGGTTCGTTTTCATCCATAAACCAAGAGCAATACCTATAATTTATACTCCCTATCTCAGTTTTAACCCTGTTGCCGTAGAAAGATGAAGCTTCTGATAGCCACAATAATAATAATAATAATAATGATAATAATAATGATAAGAAAAATATTAACTAGGCAATCACGGTACGGTTTTAATTGTAAGACAGGTATTCAGACAAATGGAGCAAGTTAATTGCTGCTTGATGTTTTTTTTAAAGGAGACTCCCTAACCATCGACAAACACGAAACGACGCTATCGGATGAAATCAACAATTGACGCCTGGAGGGATTAATTTCGATTTCTGAGAAAATGGAACAAAGTCCGTCACAACTCACTGCTCGTGACCAATCAAAATCGAAAAGCTTGTCTGTAACATTAGATTGTTTATCTGCTGCGTAAACTTAATCTTCATCGGTTGTTGTCTGGGAACTTTATTTTTAGACAGTCCGATGGTTTAGCAATTTGTTATTTATTTTAATTTATTTAATTCCAATAAAGATATTTTTTCCTGTAAATCACATTATGGGTGCTAATCTGTGCCCAATACTTGATTTGTTTCGCTGTATTTACGGAAGATAACAGGGAGAATTTATGTTGTGAACACTTTAAACAGCTTTAATCACCTCTATAAATCTCAAGTGCCCTAAAAAGTAATTATGCCTTGTGGTTTTCCCTTTCGTTTTGAATTGGTCAATTAGTGGAGTTGGCGCTACATAAATTATGTTAAATTAATTAAATTAAATTGAATTCCTTGACTTTCTCTGTATTATGAGAGAATTCTCTTGACACACCCTGAAACTTTTTCATATCTCTCAACGAACTACAATATCGTTGAGAACTGTCTAAGATTAAAGTTTCAAAGCAATCGGAGATTCATTAAATGCGGGTAAACAGTCTAGAACATTCTAATGTGACAAAGAAACCGTTCGAACGTGACTTGTGCGAGAAGTCATTTATGACGGTCTTTGTAATGTTTACTCAGAAATCTGACATAACTCTTTGAGGAGAGACTTAATTTATTAGCTCTTTATGGTGGATTAGCAAAATCAAGTCATTTAACAATTATACGGTGAATTTAGCTAGAAACACAAACGGGCACGACTCCTCTGCCCCCTGTGACCAAGCATCATGATGATTTTAACCATTGAAATGTAGCTGTGGCATAATTTCAAAGCCATGGCACGTTCAGCGAAAACATAATATTGCATAGCTTACCCCTCGTTTAAGTGTTTGTACCAAGATGATAAGGGTTTCAGACTGACGCTTTTTATAATCCTTGGAGCAGTGAATTGAATTGTACGTTATACAAACCTTCAAATAGTAAGTAATTAGGGAAATAAGTAGATATTTCAATATCTTTGATTTATTTAAAAATAAATCAGTAGATAAATTAAATAAATTCGAATAAAATAACAAATTTCTTAACCATCTGAACTGTCTAAAAATAAAGTTCCCAGACAACAAAGAGGATTAAGTTTACTCAACAGATAAACAATCTAAAGTGGGAGACCAGCTTTTGGATCTTGATTGGTCACGAGCAGTGAGTTGTGACAGACTTTGCTCTTTTTCTCAGAAATGGAAATCAATCCCTCCAGGCGTCAGTTGTTTATTTCATTCGATAGCGTCGTTTCGTGTTTGTCGATTGTTAGGGAGTCTCCTTTAAAAAACATCAAGCAGCAAGTAACTTGCTTCATTTGTCTGAATACCTGTCTTACAATTAAAACCGTACCGTGATTGCCGTAGTTAATATTATCCTTATCATCATCATCATCATCATTATTATTGTTATTATTGTAGCTATCAAAAGCTTCATCTTTCTACGGTATCAGGGTTAAAACTGAGATAGGGAGTATAAATTATAGGTATTACTCTTGGTTTATGGATGAAGACGAACCAAAAACTGTGAATTAACATAGCAAGCGAATTCGGCATGTTAGTAGCGAACTCGAGCGTAGCGCTGTAACTCGACAAGTAGCGCCGAAAATGGGTGTAAACCAGATCAGGTTTCTCTCGATATTTGCTTCGTCTTCTGGCACGCCTACTTCTCTCAAAAACTCATTAAACTTTATCACTGCTTTCACTGGGTCTTCACTGTTGAGGAGGAATAAATATTTTAAACGAGCATTAGGGTTAGCCATATTATCCTGCACACCAATTATCAGAATACAGTTACAAACTTCCAACTACAAAAAGTCTCGAGTTTGAGAATGTCAAACCATTATAAGCTGATTTACAAGTTTGCTGATTGGTCGAGAGAGATCACACTACTGTCTTATGACCTGAAAACAATGCAAGATTGATGACTCATCGGGAACGTCCCTGTGGTATGACGTCATAGACTTCTTGTCTAACCGAGAATTAGGTCTTCCTGTCTTACCGAGAATTTTGACACGCTATGTTGGTTATTTCCTGTTCCATTTGATTATGCGAAAATTTAAATGCACTTCAACTTTAAAAAAATACATAGTTTGTGTACAAATTTTAAGCCCATGAAAAGTAACCATTTTATAATTTTGTTATGGATCAAAATTATTGGAGTCATAAAAAATTGTCCACAAGCTGGGAATTAGCATAGAGTTGGTGGGGTATCAAATTAGTTTTTGCAAAAAAAGGTCTGGTACCCCCATATGCGATACTACTAAAATGGCGATGCAAGTAGCATTACTTGCTCTCAGTGCCGTAAAACCAACCCTCAGATGTACTATTGCTTCGATTACGGAAGATTCATGTGCCTTGATTGTTTCAAACACGAAACGACGCTATCCAATGAAATAAACAACTGCCCCTTGGAGGGATTGATTTACATTTCTGAGAAAAAGAGCAAAGTCCGTCACAACTCACTGCTCGTGACCAATCAAGATCCAAAAGCTGGTCTGCCA